TAGACCTAAAGTGTTCAGATGCTCAATCCGAAAACTTCAGAGATCCATATGACCTAAACTTCGGGTTCCACGCACGAGGTTTTTTTCTCCGTGTAGGTTTTTCTACGTGTACGCTATTAAGTTGTGCATTTAGCCACTGATACACGTGCGTAAACCTCTCTTTCGATGCAATACCCCTGTGCTTTTACTGGAAATACGTCTCTAATTCCTGTGTTTTTGTGTGTGTTTCAGAGGGGTTCGGGGGACAAGGGGAACGGGGGGATCGGGGGGTGCGGGGACAGGGAGGACGAGGACGCGGACGGGGACGCGGGGGGCCGGGGGTGGGGGCGGGGTCGGGGGGATGGGGGAGCGGGAGGCCCGGTCGGTGGCCCTGGAGAAGGCCTACGTGCACGAGGTGTACCAGCAGATGACCAAGGCGGAGCACCCGCACCACGAGACAAACAGCCCCTGGCCCAGGATCAAACAGCTCATCGAGCAGCTCGAACCCGGCTCCCTCGTCTGCGACGTCGGTAAGTAAACAATTTTATCACAAAAAATGCATTTACAATACAGGGTGGCCCAGACCAAGCCTTCTTTTTCGAAGAAACAGTGGTTTCTAAGTTCTAAAAAGTGGTTGGCTGAATTGGGAATCAACCCCGAGGAATTCGAATTTCATGTTTCCGGAAGCCCCCAGACCTATACCGTACGAAGCCTTTTTTTCGAAGAAACAGTGGTTTCTAAGTTCTAAAAAGTGGTTGGCTGAATCGGGAATCAACCCCGAGGAATTTGAATTTCATGTTTCCGGAAGCCCCCAGACCTATACCGTACGAAGCCTTTTTTTCGAAGAAACAGTGGTTTCTAAGTTCTAAAAAGTGGTTGGCTGAATCGGGAATCAACCCCGAGGAATTCGAATTTCATGTTTCCGGAAGCCCCCAGACCTACCGTACGAAGCCTTTTTTTTCGAAGAAATAGTGGTTTCTAAGTTCTAAAAAGTGGTTGGCTGAATCGGGAATCAACCCCGAGGAATTCGAATTTCATGTTTCTGGAAGCCCCCAGACCTACCGTACGAAGCCTTTTTTTTCCCCAAAGAAACAGTGGTTTCTAAGTTCTAAAAAGTGGTTGGCTGAATCGGGAATCAACCCCGAGGAATTCGAATTTCATGTTTCCGNNNNTTTTTTTTTTTTTTTTTTTTTTTTTTTTTTTTTTTTTTTTGGGGGGGGGATTGCCCTCGTATCTAGGAATCGCAGCAAAAATGGGCGAGATAAGTTGAAAAATGAAATTTACGCAAAATTTCATGAAGAGTTAAAAAAAAAAGAATTCTTAGAAAGCTTAAGTTGGAGACGAATTAGAGCCCTCAAAAATGGGGCCTTACCGTGCTTCAGCTCCCCGCGCATGACACCAGTTTTCTTCAAACTTAACGGAAAATCCCCGGAAAATTTGTAATCTCAGGAGGTCATCCCCCAAAATACCCCCTTAAAGGGAGATGGGGGGCCTCCGAAAACATAATACTCGAATTCCTTGAGATCGATTCTCTATTCAAACCACCACAACTTTTGGAACTCAGAAACCACTTTTTCCTCAAAAAAAAAAAGAAGAAAAAAAAAAGGCCTAGTACGGTAGGTCTGGGCCACCCTGTGTACAATTTATGAGGTAGATCTGTACCTATCGTAAGGCATGATTACGTTATTCCATTTAGTCTGTCGCCACCCTTTTGGTTTTTAACATGCAGTTTTCAATTCTAGAGAGGGATTGAGCATAAAATAACCAAAAAAGCTTTCTCGGGACGATTAACTCTCCATGGCACAGCGGTACAAATTCGTTTAATAACGTATTTTTGGGTTTTTTAAAACTTGAATCTTCCCTTCACGCCATGATTTTGTAAATTTTCATTAGTTGTATCTTTCTTTGAATAACTGATTTTGAAAATTTTAAATTTTGAAAATAAAACTTAAGTTTCCTATTTTTTTCATGCACGCTACGTAATAGATTTGTGTCTCGCAGAATCTGAGACCCAAAATTAATTCATGCTCCAGAAGGCTAAATTAACTTTCACAAAATCTTTTCGCTACATCAATGGCCAATCTTTATGAAACAGTCAGGGATGTTTTCTGTTTGATTGGTTTTGATGCAATCGAGCTATCAGTATTACTGCCGAGACAAGCGTTGAGAGAAACATGTATGTAGACACAAATAATAATACTTAAAAACGCCATATCGAACTAGAATCATGACGTTTTTCGTTTCTAGTTTAAAAAACCGTTGTTTAAATGCTTTAATTGAAAGTTTTGAAACTTTCACGTTCGGAGTTCAAAACGGTCGCGCAAAAAGCAACTCTGTGCCTCTTATTGGCGCAAAAATGATTATCACTCATGAAGATACATACGAATGAGAGAACTTCCCGTTGCGACACCACAAATCCCAGCTTTCGACCCAATTTGACGGAGATCATCCTCCGAGAAAAATTAATTCTGTACTCAGCCTCTCTTAAGAGTGGGCGGTTACGAGTAGGTAAAAATTTCAGCACAAGTCCGATAAACGGTTGAGACATCCAACATCAGAATACTTATGAGTGCAAAAAAAGCGTTTCATCCGTTTTCCACAGTAATCAAATTTATTTATTGCAGGTTGCGGAAATGGAAAGTATTTGAGTATGAATTCCTCAGTTTTCAAGATTGGAGGGGAAAGATGTAGTAGGTTAGCTCACGTCGCAAGACATAAAGAAAATGAGGTAAGTGGCTACATGATCTTATTCGAAAGAATAACATTGGCTTCCTTACATTACGTATGTATAGTTGAGAGTGACCGTTGAGAGTGACTGAATACGGCTTGATGAACTTCCTTTTCTTTTAACATGTTTCGAAACATTCGCCATTCGAATTTCTTTTGTCTTTAAACACACAGTAAATATCGGATAATAGCTAACGTATAAATTACACTGTGAGAAGACTTGTAATTTAAAAGATCTGAAGCGCCGTCAGGTGTTGCAGAGATCATACGGCCGTTTCCTTTACATTATTTAGCAGGAATCTAGTAGCCTGAAATAAGCATCCTGTATTTGAGCTGTGAAAAAGGTTTACAGATTTTAACATGAGTAAAATTTAACATGAATATCTTTGGATATGAATTCGCATTATACGAGTGCTTTCAATGATTTGCTACAGTAAAAAGCACAAAATATAAAATAAAAATTCTGTGTTTTAATACCATCTTTGACACGGAACCACTTGAATATTTTCAGAACGCACAATATGCGATTTTAAATGACAATAACCCATTCAGAATGTGCGAACATTTCAAAATTATAATTGAAAAACGCTAACTCCGCGAGTTTGAATACTAGAACCAAATGCAACAGTGCCGTCAGCACGTGTTAGTGCCTAGAAGACTGCAGAAACACTTCACGCATTGCGCGTACTCGACGGTGGTGCGTACGCGCAATGCGTGAAGTATCCCTGCGTGAACGCGCAATGCGTGAAGTATCCATGCACTCTCGTAGGCGCTAATACTCGTCTCGAGCTGGCTGCACTGATGTGTTTACGGCATCGATGAATACGACTATAGGCTAATAGGACGGATTTTGTTAGCCACGGCAAAACTCCATAAGAAAAAATACAAACGCGTATCCGTTAATACAACATCGGTTAAAACGCCATATCGGCTAATGCAACGGATTTTTTCTTCTTTCGATTCAGCGTAAAATATGGAAAAACTTTTAAATTAGGGGCCGTCCATAAATTACGTCACTCAAGGTGGGGGAAGGGTGAGGTCTAGATGACGGGGAAGGAGGGAGGGATCAAGCCAAGGATGACGTAAGCTTTCCTGAATGCAAAAAGGCTGAAATTGCTTGCTTTATTGACTCTCTGCATTTTCCCTCAAAAAGGGTGGGGGCGACCACAACACATATTTAATTTTTAATAAAATTAATTACTCATTTTCTTGACGTTGCAGACTAAATCTACTGATCTTTATCGAATGTCTGCGTTATTCTCCGAAAAGGGGGGCTAAGGAAACGCTGGAAAAAAAACAAAACATTGGATCTAGAGTCCAGACTCTTAAAAACATCGACAAGAAAAAATACTTTTGATTCAAACCGATTTAAGCTTACATTAAGAACCCAACTCTTAATTTGAGCGGATTTCCTTTTGATTTAAGCTTGACTCTGATTGAATCAAGATTATTTTTTCTCTTTCAAGAGTCTGGACTCTAGATCCAATGTGTTTTTCTTTCCAGTGTGACTTAATTTTTAAANGGGGTCTAGCAGGGGATGACGGTTGGATACGGCGAGGGAGGGAGAGGTCGAAATATGGAAAAAAGGGGCGACGTCATACAAGGACGGCCCCTTAGCGATAAAAATGGTGAAGCTATGGGAGAACTGGGAGTGTAATCGGCAGGTTTACTTTGGTTTCAGATAATAATCTGTGATAATTTAGCATTGCCGTTTCGGGACGAGAGTTTCGACGCAGTGCTATCTATAGCTGTAGTTCACCACTTAGCCACCACCGAGAGGCGAGTCTGCGCCCTCAAGGAGTTGACCAGAGTGCTCAGGATAGGTGGCAAGCTCATCATAACTGTCTGGGCCATGGAACAGCGCCATCGGAAGGTAAAACTCTACTACCATTTCTCAATACATAAATGCTTCGTGTATATGTCGCAGGCAAATAGTGAAATCAGGCATTTTGTAAAATGCCTAGGCAGATAGCTTAAATTAGATTGTCTACAAAATGTTATGAATTCATGGCGGAGAGCTCACGAGTTTTCAATATTTGTGGAAGCATATCTCATCAAACCTAAACAAACTCTTTCTGTCCCTTCCTCTTAAATTTTTTCTCATATTTTTAAATGTTGAAACTCTAAAAATGCTGTACTCTCTGACATGCTGAAAATTTCAAGAAAAGTGTGTGCTCAGGAGCTAAAATCGTTTAAAGTACTGTTTTGTGATGCACATTTTTACTGAGGACTTTTTCTTACGGGAGTCAATTGATTATTTTGTCTAAAATTAGGAAAAGAATCAGAATTTCAATCTTAGCTAGAATATTTGACTATTTGCCTAGGCATTTGACAAAATGCCTGATTTTACTATTTGCCTGCGACATATACAGATCTTCAAGCTAATAAACTGACTACATCATACAAAGCGAAGAAAGAAGACAGAAATTCGGTGAATATGCGTTGTAGACCTTATAAAAAAGAGGAGGAATCATTTTCCCGTCCCTTTAATTCTGCGACCTCATAAAGAGGCGAATGCTAGATGCCGAGATAACGCTATTTGAAATATTGGAAGTTTCTACGGCAATGAAAAAAACAGACCTGTTTTTCGAACGGTCGCAGACAGAATACCCAGCAGGCTGATTGTTGAAATTAGTAGACAAAGCGATAAACAAAGAAGATAATAGGGATATGCAGGGATCCCGTTGGTGGAAGCGGGTAGTTGCAATGGACAGGGGAGGTAGGTAATAGATTAACTAACGACAACCCACGGGCTACAAGCCTCCAAGTTTATCCTTTAACAAAATTGATGTTTCGACATACATATAGTTATAGAAGTAAACGCTTTTTCGGGACACAAAAACTCGACTAATAACCCGATTTTCGCCCTCCAAATCAGCACATTGATTGCAGTCTCTTTACAAAAACTTGTGTCCTGGTTAGAAGCTCAAATTCCCATCAATTTCCGATCAAATGGGGACTGGTGCGCACCATCTACCGTCAAATTTCTGCGACCTGCAACAATTTGATGGTAGATGATGGAACTGTGGGGCTCATCCTTCATCTGATTTCCACACAACCGTACTTATTTCAATCAGCACGCTGTTTTAATTAATTTTACTCATCAATCTAGATAACTCTCGACCGCCATCTTGGTCATCATTTTGATCGGAATTCGATGGAAATTTGAGCGTGTAACCAGGCCACTACAGAACAAAAGTTTTTTAGCGTTTCACTCCTCACTGGTAAAAAAAACCTCTTGGTTCAAGAGTGCAGTTTCTTGTCGCCGGATTTAAGAGTCTGGACTCTTGTTTCAAGCGGATTTTGAATTGAATCAATGCAAAATCCGCTTGAAACAAGAGTTCAAGACTCTTAAATCCGGCGACAAGAAACTGCACTCTCAAGTCAATGCACCGCGGCATTGGTCCAATAGGTTTTTTTACCAGTGATGTAGTGACTAAAGTGACTGACGAGTGACCGATAACGTATTTTACAATGAGATGTGGGTTCTGTTGACAGTTTGAATCACAAGATGTACTCGTGCCTTGGCATCGGCCGCAAGTTCTGAGCACGCCTTCATTCGACTCGTGGCAGACCACCACCTCAGAGGACGACTGCCCTCCACCATACGCTTACATCCAGGCTTCCGACAGCGATTCCACCTGGTTACAAAGGTACGCAACTAAGCCCCCAAGTAGCATTTATCGACGGAAAAATCGCGATATATTGCGATTTTATCGGCTATAAAATCTCTAGGATCATCAACATCTGAGCGATTACCCTCGATGTTGTTGCAATATGATCGCGATTTTATTGCCCGGCAATTTATCGCGATATTATTGAAACGAAAATCGCGATATATAGCGATTTAATCTCGATTTTGTCGAACCAAAAATTGCGATGCATAGCGATTTAATCGCCATAAATCGCAAATTTTCATTTGATAATATTGCGATAAATTGCCACCAATATAATTGCGATAATCATCCGATAAAGTCGTTATTTATCGCGATCACCGCTACTTGGGGCCCCTACTCAATAATGATTCTTGAGCATAGACGGGGAACAAGATCTTAGGGGTTTTGAAAACCTTTCTCTTTTCCTTGGGCCGAGAAATTACTTACTTTCTTGCTTTTGGACAAAAATGTTCACTGGAAAAAAGGACATTTTCAGACTTTCAGTTGTACATATCAACGATGTAAAAAACAAAACAAGGAAACACGGCTAAAATACATAAAAATACACGGGACGTTTCGGCCATTATCAACCGCTAAAAAGTAGAAAAATAAAAGACAAATTAAAATCAAAAGATACCAACGCCATCTAACGCCGTGCGAGTCTCATTCGATTTCAATTCCTTTTTTATTTTTGTACTTTTTTGGCGGTTGATAATGGTGTCGTGAGACACCAAAACGTCCCGCGTATTTTCATGTAAGTACTTTAGACTTGTTTCCACTGTTTCCCTGTTTTGCTTCTACCATTTCCGTTTTGGGCTGCCTGCGTACCTATGTCTTTGCCACGATGTAAGTTTGCAACCATGAATCTCCGTTTGTGACGTCGCAGACTTCCTGTCATACTTCATATTTTAGTGAAAAGATACTCGACGGCAATTCTCGAAAACTGCCGTGATTTTTCTTCTCTGTGCGAAGAATTCTGAAAAAACTTCAAGAAATGATGTTGATTTGTTCTCCTTTAAAGTGAAAATATAAAGGCGGCGATTTTCAAACACCGCAAACCAGATACGAGGTTGCGTACTTAAACCGTCGATATGATTCGTTTTCCTCGTGAAATGTTTAAGAAAAGAACATGCTCCGTAGGGTTTTCATTCATACCTTGTCTAGAGGACCGTTGGGCGTAAATTAGTTGATTTCAGACTTCGGACGTGCTCATCGTAAGATGGACTTTCTTGGCAGTTCATCCGTAAAAAAAGTACTGTCAGTGGGGAATTGTATATAGACGCTCCAATGGGTATGCATTCCAATGAAGAAATCGATACGACATCGTAGAAAAAGCGGGGTAGAATTTGAAGAAAAACCAGCAAAAACTGGAGTTATCAAACCTTTCAGGCTGATTGTATTCAAAGAGCCTTTCAATCGGGTTCCGCGGTTCCGCTCACCTAGCTCTCGCCAATGCTCGGCGCACAATGGATGGAGCCGAAGCGGATACGAACTTTTTGGAATAAAACTGAAAGTTTTCATATTTTGTTCGATACAATTGAAATCTTGAGGGATTTCTCGTGTAGGGAATTTTACGAGAAAATTAATGTCGCCGTTTTCTACATCTACGTTGACGAAAATATAAGCTTTTAAAGTTATCACATTATGCCCTCTAGGGTGTACCTTATTTTTTGAGTTTTGCGAAAATCAATTTGGTCGACCCCTAAAAAGTTTCTATGTAGTCTCTAAATGAACCTCCTAAAATGAAAAAACAATTTAAACCCGTGCTTCAAAGGGTCTAAATCCAAAATTCAAAAATTTTGGCACGCGACATATCAATTCTGAAGGAAAATTGCAAGTTACGGCCTTTTGGGCAGAAATTTCGTCCGTTTTGACCCTTTGAGGCACGGGTTAAACATTTTTTTCTTTTAGGGGGTTCATTTAGAAACTATATGGAAACTTTTTAGGGGTTGACCAACTTGATTTTCGCAAAACTCAAAAATAAGGTATACACCCTGATGTGCTCCCTTCCCTATTGATTCGCCCCCATGAGCGACGGGGTTTTTTTCTTGGCGTGGGCATTGTGAGCCCGAGCGGCGGGCGCGGCGAGGAGGGCTGAAGAATAAAGTTTCATTAGGGAAATTGAGATAAGCCGGAGATAGGCCGCGGTGATGGACGCTGTCTGCGTAATTGCATCGAGTCTGAGAGGAAATAATTAACGATGCTCTTTGTGTGTTTCTCAGGGCGCACTGTAGAGCGAAGAAGGATAAAGGTCGGCAGAAGGGCCGCTCGGAGGTCATGCGGAGCTCACCGAGTAGCTCCAGTCTCTCCAGCCCTAACGAGACCTGTTACAGCTTCGTCCGCAAAGCGCTACAGGTAAGCAAACCTTTCTGGGACTGTATTCAGAGTGACTCCTTGGAAGGCGGATTCCTGCTAGAGGATTCAGGATGTCTACTAGAACAGGCTGGTCAAAAATCAGTACTTTTACAGCACTTTTTAAGAACATTCCAAAGAAATTCAGTACCTCCTCAACAGAAAATTTCAGTACTTTTTCAGTGCCTCCAATTGATGAAATTCGAAGAATTTAAAAAATTTGAATTTCTCGCTCAGATTGCGACACAACTAAAACAAAAAATGAAAAAAATTCCGGACCTTCTCGCGGAATTTCCGCACTCTTTCAGCACTTCCGGACCGCCCTTCAAAAATCAGTACTGTTTCTGGACTTTCCGGAAATTCCGGACTTGTAGACACCCTGACTGGATTTGATTCACTTTAGAGCCAATTACCACAAAACGGTCAATTGACAAGGATAAACGCTCGCCAGAAGCCAAGAACTAAATTCTGCGGTTTGATGATTTAAAGTCATTGTTTCCATCTATCGATTTCTATTTGCCCACCTCGAGCGGTAGGTTGAGAATTTTGGATACTGAATTTTAGAGGAAACATTCATAAGTTTCCCTGAAAATTCGTACTTTATGAACGAGATTTCGACAACATTTGAAGGCCGTTCTTCCTTATGCGGTAAGTTGGCAGTGGCGATGAAGAACTCGATTGCATGCAGCGTGAACGCCCCTTCAATTCTGTGAGATGCCGTGCAATACACAGAGACACGAATAGTTGCTGTTCCTGCACTCTTTTAATTCCAGGGTGCCAGTTTTGGAAAAAGTCAATGTCGTTGCTTACCCGCATTGACAATCGATCTTAAACCGCTATATAGTCCTACGGGTGGCTCTTTATGGTTAAAATTGTGACTTGGAGGAATTTATGGAGGCCTTCAACGCAGCATCATTACGGGAATAATGTCTTCGTTTTCTTGCAAAAACGAAGCGGGAGATGTCTAGGTAAAGGCATCTTGAAGCGGGAACTTTTACGAAACTCTACTAAAATTTGGAATGAAATTTACTCGCGGCTTGAGAACGTTGTCCTTTTCATAATCCTTTCTTACAAGGCCTTGGTATCTCTTTACCATGACATAAACCGTAGGAAGCCACCTTCAATAAATGAGTTATTTAAAGAACGAATATGAATGGGGGTAAGGGACATGGTTGACTTCATAAAATTGGCAGCTTGAAAATATAGCGTAGAAGCAACAGCTATTTGTGTCTCCAGGTATTGCGCGGTATCAGACAAGATTGAGGGGAAACATTTTGCGTAGAGCAGAATCTAAAACTTCCAAAATCCTTTCATAAGTGAGAAATAATCGTATGTGCATGTGCATTTTACATGACAAACAGTAAATTCAAACTTCTCACCCGCGAACAAATTATTATCAACGTCCTTCAAAATAGCCGTGGAAAACAACCCACGCGTTAGTAAATAAGGGGATGTCTCATATGCACCTCCCTCTTCCTTCGATGCATGACACCTCTAACATTTTAAAACAAATCAACTACACAAGAGAATTTTTCTATTGTAAAGTATAATAAACGCCGGAAAACAAAGTCTCTTGGCTCCTGAGTTTAGAGTCTTAAAAAATTTGAAGCGCAAGAAAAACTGCTCTCGATTCAATCGGATTTTTACTTGAATCGAGAGGAAACTCTCTCATTTAAAGCGGATTTCTTTTCGATTCAAGCAAGAATCCAACTGAATAAAGAGTATCTTTTATCAAATTTTTAAAGAGTCTGGATCCAAAAGACCTTTTTCCCAGTGAAAGTAATCAGGTGCTCAATAGAGTATACTAAACGCCGGAAAACAAAGTCTCTTGGCTCCTGAGTTTAGAGTCTAAAAAATTTGAAGCGCAAGAAAAACTGCTCTCGATTCAATCGGATTTTTACTTGAATCGAGAGGAAACTCTCTCGTTTGAAGCGGATTTCTTTTTGATTCGAGCAAGAATCCAACTGAATAAAGAGTATTTTTTATCAAATTTTTAAAGATTCTGGATCCAAAAGACCTTTTTTCCGGTGAAATTAATCAGGTGCTCAAATTTGGTGCTTAATTTCGAGCTGTCTATTGGTCCTATTGTCTATTGAACCGCGTTTAACAGAAAGGAACCAAGCCACATCAGCTGTTGCCAAATTTAACTGGTCAAGTCAATTTTTTACTAGAGAACGCTTGTGCGGATTCCTTTGAAAATTTTAAGGAATTTGCCTCGTACTATGAAGAAAATTCACTGAAATTTGCACAAAAATCCGTCCAACCGTTTTCATGTAAAAAATTAATTAGTCCAATTAAATTTGGCGATAGCTGATGTGGTTTGGTTCCTTTCTGTTTAACGCGGTCCGATTGTCCATTTGAATGACGATCTGATTTTTTAATTGCATCTGTTGTGCAGAAACTGGCGGGCGGGAAGCGGGGCTCGCGGAGCCGGGGTTGGTTCCTGGAGCCGTGGACGTCGACGCAGAGCGAGGAGATCCCGATGAAGCGCTACGACCCGGAGGGCTGCGAGGACACGGAGGACATCCAAGACCTCCCGATCGAGCTGCGCCGCTTGGACGAGGACGTGGAGACGGCGCTGGAGAAGCGGCAGAACTTCGCGGCGACGCGGCAGGCCTCCGAGCACCTCAACTTCAAGTCCAAGTCCCTCTCGGACATCGGGACGCAGCCGCGGGAGGAGGCCCCGGAGCCGCTGACGCGCTCCCGTTCGAGCGTGCCGAGCCTGAGCCTGGAGCTCCGCCCGGAGATCTCGGTGGAGGCGCCCCAAGTGGACCCGGCCGAGGAGCGCGCCCCCGCCAAGCCGCGCCTCGTCAAGCAGAAGAAGTCCATCTGCGACGAGGACTTCGAGGAGGAGGACCGCGACAAACCCACCGACATGCGCGACCTCGTCAAAGCCATGCCCGAGTTCAAGGTCGCTAGCCAGGCCCGCCTCCGCGAAACCCTCTTCAACAAGCAGGTTAGTTTAATTTAAAGTTGAACTTCTTTTTATCGGGCTGCATTATGTTTTATGAAATTACTGCTCTTATGTTTGAGGAAAGAGAATGAACCTTTATGAGCAGTTTTACATAGAGTCCCAGAAAGGTGACAACCTGCTCAATAACCAACAAGAGATAGTGAGGTAGTGACACTGGTAGCCCCTCCAATCCTATTCAGAGATATGCGCACGCACCAACAACGAACGGGCAACTCGATGACGCAACGGCCGGAACACCGGTGATAAGAACGCGTTCGCGGCGACTGGTGCACCCACGAGTATTTTAAAAGTGTTTTTTAGTACATTTTAGTAAAGTGTAGTAAATTTTAATAATATAAGATGTGACTGTTAGTGTTTACCAAATTGAAGTCGAAGTGACCTGATGATGATGATTAACATCGAAATAGCTATCGTCTAAAAACCGGATAAAAAGTGATCGGGAGAAAGGTAATTTCATCAAGCAGGTTAGTGTCGGAGCATAGTAGCATACAAAGATAATCCAGGAAGGCAGGCGAACCTTTGTCAATAGCAAGACATACAACGACACGGCAAGGCCAAGAAAGTGTCGCACGAATACTGTAAGTAACAGAGTGCTTGCCCGCAGATTAGTGCGGACTAGAGTACCTGGCGAAAGCACACACACTGGAAAAAAAACACATTGGATCTAGAGTCCAGACTCTTAAAAACATCGACAAGAAGAAATACTCTTGATTCAATCAGATTTAAGCTTAAATCAAGAACCCAGCCTCTTAATTTGAGCGGATTTCCTTTTGATTTAAGCTTAAATCTGATTGAATCAAAAGCTCTTTTTCTTGTCAATGTTTTCAAGAGTCTAGACTCTAGATCCAATGTGTTTTTTCCCCAGTGCAAGTATTAAAGTAAAAAAATCTCGATGAACAGAGGAGAGATTTTTATCGCCCAAGTCAAAGGTCGCAAGTCAAAATTTTAAATATCATTTCTGACGGAAAAATGACTCTATTCAAGCGGAAAATCCTGGATTAGGAATAGACGCATGTATGCTTGGAACACCAATACGAGCTAAAATTGAAGTTAGGTACATAGTACGTGCACGCTTGGACTGAATCTTGCATCAAGGGGTTGAGTGATGCAAATCAGCTGAAATCTGAAAATTCGATCAGTCTTAATTACTACCCACACACAAAAAATGTGTTGATTAGAACAGAAAGTGATCGTGTAAACACCAATTATGGATCCGTTTTCAGTTATTTCTTAAAAGCCGACTGCACACACAATAAATGGGGACCCGCAAGTGGCACATCGGTGCCGCCGTGTTCAGTGTTGATCACTGCACCGACGATGCACCGACGTAACCGATGAGCCACTTGCGGGTCCCCAATTGCCGTGTGTGAAGTCGGCTAAAAACCATACAGGCAACACTCTCTCATCAGTAGTTATCAGCATATAAAAGGAAGTACTTGCTTTTTTAAATTTACGATCTTGGAATTTTAAACGTAATTCTGACAAAGTTTGGCATCCGTATCCTGTAATTGGTGAAATTTCCCATGGCAAATAAATTTTCTTCGTTGTTATGATTATTAGGTCTCGATGAACGAAGAGCTCATGTCGACGGAGCGGATGCGGGAGAAGGAGAAGGTCCGGCAGAACATCCAGAAGCAGGCGTCGCTTAACGAGGACCTCATCTTCCGGCGGCGCGCCCCCCGGACCATCGACTCCTTGCGCAACTCCTTCTTCTCGACCTCCACGTCGACCGCCAAGCGGTTCCAGCTCCTCAAGAGCGGCCTCACCTCCAAGCTCAAGTCCTCGACGACCAACATCGAGAAAGCCGTCACGAGCTCCACCTTCAAGAACGGCTTCGTGCGCATGCTCCAGGGCTGGAAGTCGGACGCGCCAATCCCCCAGCCGGCCCCTCCGCCGCCTCACCCCATGCCGCCGCCGGTGGAGGCCGTCATCTCCGAGGACCGCACCTCCGTCGAGCGGCGCCACTCCAAGGAGGACGGCTCCGACTCCTCCAAAGACTCCAGCCTCCAGAGCGACACCTCCGTCGACTCCGAGGACAGCTTCGCCTCCGTCATCTACATCCCGAAACCCGAAGAGGTGCTCCACATGGAGCAGTCGGTTACATCCCCCACGCTCTTGGCCTCGAACCCCGTCTCCCCGCAAGCGACCTCCCCTAAGCTCAAGTTCCCCCCGCAGCCTATCTCCCCGAAACTGGGCGTCTCCCGCTCGCCTAAGTCGCCCAAGTCCCCTCAGTCCTCGTTCGGGCTCTACTCGCACCCCTCCTCCCCCAAGATCAAGCAGATCCCCGCCCTCCAGAGCACCTCTACGCCGGCCTCCCCCATGCTCAAACATTTCCCGCAGCCGCTCTCGCCGCGGCCCTTCTACGCCATCTTCCCATCTTCGAAGCAGTCGCCTCTGGTGAAACCCTGCGACTCGCCTGTGCAGAAGATCTTCCAGCAGATTCACCCCATGCTCAAGTCACCCAAGAGCCCGGTGAGCCCTCCGGTCATGTCCTCGCTCGCCGACGTCGAGGAGGCCGCCTTGGAGCCTATGCGCTTGTCGCCCACGCCTGCATCCCGGCGGAACATGCAGTCGCCCAAGGAGGACATCGACAAAGAGCCTCCAGTCACGCCTAAAGAGGAGACACCAGTGGATTCGGAGCTAGTGCTGTCGCCGTCGCCTTCGGTTTCGATAACGAAGGACACCGTTGAAACAGATCCTCAGAGGAAGGATGAGAAGGATGAGACGAAAACCAGCAGCGTGCGACCAGGTAAACAAAATATCACTATGTGTACCACGTTGTTTAGAGTCAGCTTTGGATTGATTTCCAGATTCCCAGCGTGAAAGTCCCCTCTAGAAACCCCGAGGTTCCCTAAAATTTTATCCAATTTTCACTGGGAAAGACGAATGTTTTTCCCTGGCATTCACGGAGAAACTAATTTCTCGTCTTTCGCCTGACTCTTCAAAGCCAGGAAAACGCGGACTACCAAACTGTAGAAATAGTATAATTTTGAAACGAAAGAGATAAAAATTCTTGATTTAATTTTGTGACAAAAATTTTAAATTTATCCTACAGTTTTTATTTCCTGGTGAATTCCGGTCACGACCGATTTTCTTAGACCAGGGTAAGATCTTAACTATTTTTGCTTCGGCTTTATACTCAATTGCGCGTTTGAAACTTCTTGACTTGCTCATGATTATTTCCTGATATTTCAATAATTTTCACAAAATTCACGCGGAGTAAAACAACATAACCCACGATCAAACTATTACTCAGCAGTGTGTAGTAGAGTTTTGCAATGACTCTCCGCGTGTACCATTCAGTTTAATATCGAGGATTGACCGCTGCTGAAGAAAACTATGCATATTATAAAAGCGACCAATACGAGTGGCTGGTAGCTGATTGAATCGGGTGTCAATATTTTTACTCCTTTTTTTAAAGAAACGAGTATAATTATTCTCGAGCAAAAGCAGCAGAGTCGAAGGAAAAGTTTTGAACAGTCGGAAAAAATTATTTACCTCGTCTCCCTAGTTTTGCCATGCGTCTCTGTAATACTATAGATTCTCTGATTTTCCCCTCTTTCCAGAGGCGAATAAACCCTGTCACTTTAGACAGTAACTTACTCGTGTCTTACGTAAATCGACATTTTCATACAAAAAATGTGTGTAACGTTAGCGAATTGGTGAATAAAAGAATGGTCGTGTCAGTCTGGGACTGACATTTGAAATCAACAATGATGGATTCGGACGTCGGTAGAGTAGAAATATATGCAAATAGAGTATTATCGAAGAAAATTGAATGAGCGCATTTCTTGATTCGTGAACTGCAGAGTTCAACATGCGATGGGCTGAAACGAAGAAATTGAACGGCGTGCATGTGTACAAGAGGCACGTGCAATTCTGGCTGTTGCAAACTTTTACCGTAGGATTATCATTGAAAGGAGAAATAAGAAAACAAAGTATCCATTAGGGGGGAAAAACTGGTTTTTTGACAAGTTTTTAGTGAAAAATTGCGCCGAGTAAAATTCTAGTTGTGACACTTAGTTTCTTTACGACAATGAAAACTTTTCGTCACAGCTAGACTTTGCTAAAAGAGGGAATCTCAGCCACTTAATTTACCACCATTATTAACTTCCTTCGCTATGCAATTGGAGTTTTCTTCAGCGCAAGTGGAAACAGTCAAAGGAATGATTTCTTTGCTGCAACGAATCCGCCTTTCCTTAAAGTTAATGTTTCACAAAAGGAAGTCCTTTTTCACACTTGTTTCCATTTCAAAATCTGCATAGCTTAATTGAGCCCATCTTGGGGTTTGCACGAAGTAATCAAAATGTGATTAATCGTATCATTAATTGTGTCTTTTCAGCAAGTGCTTCTTGAAGCGGGGGGCTCAAATACGCGCAAGAAGGCCTGTTTCACACAAGAGCTACAGATAGATGAGAATAGTTCTAAAAGGTCGAATTGTGCACGAACTACGGCGAGCTCAATTGTTTTGAAACATTTCTTTTCCCATTTTTTTATATGGACGGAAAAATAAGTGCATTAAAAACGACGAAAATGAGTACACTTGGGTTGGGTTTTCTTTCACTGCTTTTTAGACTAATCAGGTTTCCAAAAACGAAAGAAAATGGTGTTCACGGAAGCGGAAAATTTGAAGATGCGTAAAACGGATTATGAAAACTGTGCGTAAAAGAGTAAAGTGTACACATTTCTGATGTGCTTAGGAGATTTCACCTCTGAGAAATCTATTCAATTTTTTGCATTTCTTACCATTTATGTCTCCAGCCAAAGATTGAAACGGCTTGCCCAATAAAAACAAAAACTGTGAAAATACAATTCCCGCATTTTCTTAGAATATGGGCAGAGGAAACACAGCTTAGTCATCGCATCAAACTCGCAGTCGCCAATCCATCCTTATTCACCGCGCAAGATTGATCGGTGGGTTGAGCGATGCCTGGCTGAGTAGTTGGTTTGAACATTCTTGTTGATCTTTCCCCCCGGACCATCGAATAACGCGAAGCGATGAATTCATTCCCGGTTTTAAATAATACTTAAACCCAACCCTTAGGCTCGATGTGTAAAACTTGGTGACGATAGTAAATTTCTTAATTGTTTGACGATTCAGAACCACGCGTCTTTAATTTGAAATGGTTAAATATCAGACGAATTTATGATTATCCTTTAGTCATGGAACTGGGTGAACAGTCGGTAATTGTGTGATGATTCTGTGATGATATTCTTCGTCCAAAATAAGATTAATAGGTCGAACGCATGTGAAAATGCTTGAAAATAACTTCGCAGTGCTTAAGCCACGATCAATTTTAACGCTCCAAGTTGTGGAAATAGACCCAAAACGGAAACACCAATAAGAGGATGTCCCCCTAAACTTTCTGATGGATACCTCAGCACAATATGAGGACAGTAGCGTGGCGTGAATTGCGATACATCGATTGTTATGTAATTTAAACCTATGGTAAAGAATCAATTATTAAGGTGTTTGCTGCGAACAACCTGTTGATCGATCCTTTTCCATAGGTTTAAAATGATTGATCAATCGATATATCGGAAAGCACGCCACGCCACTATGTGAGGAGGAATCGTGCCCACGTTACAAAAATTGAGATTTCAATGGATAGCGCAGCTTCTTGATAAGATTGCGCTTCATACTTTGCAAGAAAACTTTCAGTCTTTAAATATGAACATATAAGTTCAGTGAAGATTCAAATCCGTACCGTCTTACTTTTGAATGCTTGGATAAATAATTGACGATAATGGTTGATTCCACGGACTTTAACCGGTTAGTTGTACCGTTCATGTGCCATGGTCCATTTGTGTTCATTGATTCAAAAAAAAAAAAAAAAAAAAANAAAAAAAAAAAAAAAAAGTGAGAAACGGTTGCAACTACTTGAAATAAAACAGTAATAGTTGCTGCATCTACAGGCTAGCAATGCAAAAAATAATGAAGAAAAATATCTCAAAAAAACTCAACTAAAACACACACACACAAATGGGCAACGAAAGGCTAAAAAACGAACAAAAAGCCTTCGGACGTTTTGGGGTGGTTTCAACCCCACCCCCCTTCTACCAAAAAACAAGAATACGTACAGTTATAAAAATCGAGACCCTTAGATACCCCCATTCGTGATCCCAAATCGGCATGGAAGGGTCTTGATTTTTATATAAATGTATATATTTTTTTTTGTCCCGTGCTTTTTGCTCGTTTGCATTCAGCCTCGGTTTTTCATTTGATTCTTAGCTAGAGGTACACGGCAACGATGAATGCTGAGCTGACAACGTGGAGCGTTAGTTTGCGTTTCGCGGTCTCTCAACTTTTCGGACAGTTTAATTCCTCTCGCTCTCGGCTCAGCGTTACCTGACGCACCAGTGGCGAGGCGTGAATGATCGATTATCGGTATTTCCCCATCTGAAGCTCCGGTAGAGAATCGAATATTAAGGTGGTCGTTGCGGACACCTTGTTTATCGACCCTCTCCCGTAGGTTTAAATGGCAGGTTAATCGATGTACCGCAAAGCACGCTACGCCGCCACTGCGACGCACGAACGATATGCAAAGGCAGCGAGAGCCGCGTCGTTAAAAATGCATGCCCCACCGTCTGAAAGTTTCAGCGCTGTCTATCAAAACATGTCGCTGCACCGGGCCGGGTTAAGGGAGCTACCTCCGTTTCCACATCAACCCTCGGGAACAGGGAGTTGTGCGGGCAATAGGGTTCATCTCTGAGTGTACTTGCGCCTTTGAGCGAGGCATTCTCGAGACCACCGGCTCCGGTCAATCTTTTTGCGGAAAAATCGTGACCCTGAACAGCTACCCAGTCCAGGCGGTTACTTGGCTGATATGAGTTTGAAACGAGAGCAAGTTAGGCAGAGAAGTTGAAGCACCCGTTAAAAATTAATTAACTCTCCGGACGAGCCGGAGCGAGCCTCATCGGCTTAAAACATTTGGATTTCCGAGTGGGAACGAGTGAATTTTGCGTACATGGGTTCGACCTCTACTGATGCGGGTAGAGAGTTCATTAACGTCAAACGACGTCACCAGGATAGGTTTTGAGTTCACGATGTCTGATCTTTCAGAAACCTATTACCACACCAGGAAAATCATTAATATATATCATTAATATAAACTCCGAAGGATTCAGACTTTCAGCGATTCCACCTTTTTCTATTTCACTCGAGAGGTTGCCAGATTGTGCGATAAATGTGAATATTTTGCATGGATTTGAATTGGGAAAAGTGCTAAAAAAGCAACTTATCTGGCAACAATAGAGTCCGGGAGGGACGAGAGGCTGCCTTCCTGGGAAAACCCATGATTTAGCCGGAAATGTCATTAAAATCCGTTTGAAGCATCAATTGTATACTAGGGGAAAGCTATTTTAAAATAATAATTGTAAATGGACCAAGATGCTACAAAAAAGGAAAAAGGTAAGGGGAAGGAAATGAAATGAGGATATGATTACTGATATGCAATCAGAGAGAATTTAACAAAAACATCAGAGAAATTTATATGCATGAAAATATAAGAAAAAAACACGAGTGGGCTCATTGCGATTCGGAACTCGAACTATAGTATCGTTGAACAGTTTTTAGACCCCTACGCCACCGATAATCTTCTGAGGAGGTAAAGATGAACTTTTGCTACTTCAGCGAGTCAGATCGCGGAAGGAGATCCATGGATTGTCCTTTTCCGCCACCCGAATGGATGACGTCCCAGTCAAATGCGTTTTTGAAGAAATGATCGATCCCCATTATCGCTTCATCTCCACACATCTATTCATGTGCAAATGATGGCACGCTCCGGCAACAAGGTTCTATGACGAAATCATTTTTGCCTCCAGAGTCTCCAAAATGTATATATCTTAGTGATCAAACGTCCAATCACTGAGAAAAATGGCTCGCGGAGCGAGCCGAATGTCACTCGGTACCCGAAGTTTAGGTCATATGGCTCTCTGAAGTTTTCTGATTGAGCATCTGAACACTTTTGGTCCAGCTGCTGAGGTTTGGATCGCACATCTAAAACTTCAGTTCTTAAATCTGAAGTACTTCGGTTTTCACATCCGCAGAACTTCGGTTCTCACATCTGAAGTACTTCAGAAGTAAGAACTGAGGTTTCAGATGTGTGATCCAAACCTCGACAGCTAGACCTGAAGTGTTCAGATGCTCAATCCGAAAACTTCAGAGATCCATATGACCTAAACTTCGGGTCCCATGCACGAGGTTTGTTTCTCCGTGCAAGCTGCTGGTAATCTTTTCCCTACGGTTTGTCCAGTCATGTAAATAGAGTAAGTTATGAGAGGAACTCCTCGAGATATGAGTGAAACGCTGTGAATTTTCTAAAGCGGAAGGTTTGGTGTTCCCAGTTTCGATGAGCGAGCTGACGGTGCGGACGGCGTTCCCGCTGGTGCGGCGGTCGACGGAGGAGGGTGGCGACGGGGACGTGGCCGGCGCGCTGGCGCTGGTGACCCGGCAGCCGAACCTCCTCTCGCTGGAGCTCTTCAACCCCGAGACCGACGACGTGGACAGCGACTCCAGCGGTCTCTCCTCCTCCGGCTCCATCGGCAGCGTCATCAGCGTCCTCAACGAGGAGCTTCCGCCCGACCTCCCGCCTCAAGGTAAACCAAGCAAAGCATTCATGTTTCTGTCTTAAACTGACTGCGGGCTGATTATTGAAATTGATAGACAAAGCTATAGACAAAGAAGACTTAGGGCGTATAAAGCGATCCTATCGGTTGAATTGGATGGTTCTTATGAACTAAGGGAGAAAGTGATGGACTAACTGTCGGGTTGCTCGCGCGTTGCCGATAGTTAGTCTATTACCCACTGCCTTTGTCCATTGCAACCACCAGCTTTCACCAATAGATTCCCTCCATATCCCTTTTGACATTTTTGTCTATGGCTTTGTCTATCAATTTCAATAATCGACCCGCTAGGACCCCCCGAGAGCGTTTCGCGCGCCACCATGAGTTACAGTGAATAAAGCGGGCGCATCCGCCGACTATATCCTGTCGATATCCGAAGCGAATGCGTACCTGGAGTAAATGTTTACCTCCTAATGGAGATGTTGTATGTGTGAGGAATTTGAGATTAGACTGTTGATTCTTATGTAAAAGTTCGTGAGAAACACGCTGATGCCACTGGTTTTCTCTGAAATCAACTCCCAAGCTCAAAAAAAGCTCTCAAGTTGAGGCCAAAATGGAGGGGATATCCCACCCTACCCTGAGAGTCCACCTCTACATCAAGACAAACTCTCCATGCAAAGATAGGGAGCAAATACATTGACAGGGTTGCCACTTTATTTGGGTGCTCCAAAACTGAAAACACGGTAACCCTGCTGATGTATTTGCTCAGTATCTTTGCATGGAGAGTTTGTTTTGATGTAAAGGTGGACTCTCAGGGTAGGGTGGGATATCCTCTCTATTTTGGCTTCAACTTGAGAGCTTTTTTTGAGCTTGGGAGTTGATTTCAGAGAGAACCAGAGGCACCATCGTGTTTCTCGCGAACTTTTACATATGAATCAAGTGTCAAATTGCAAAGTCCTCACACATGCAACATCTCCATTGACATGAGTTGGGATCCTTTCACGACCGGACCTTCATTTGCCCTCTTCCCCTGCTCCAGGGTCAGAGGGCCAATAGGTCGATTATTGAAATTGATAGACGAAGAAGACAAAAAGGATATGGTGGGATCCTATTGGTCGAAGCGAGTGGTTGCAATGGACAAAAGAGGTAGATAATAGACTAACTAGCGGCAACCTACGAGAGATCGTCTAGTTAGTCCATCATTTCTCCCTTAGTCTATCGAAACCACCCATTTCAACCGACAGGATCCCTCTATATCCCTTTTATCTTCTTTGTCTGTAGCTTTGCCTATCAATTTCAATAATCGGTCTGCAGTTGAGGACAACCATTAATCGGCCGTACCGAAAAACTACATACATACATACGAGTCGCTTTCACGGCGCTCTCTGACAGTCTGCGAAGCCTAACCGTCACAGTACCCGGCCCTCCAACAACATTTCTGGGAGTTAGCACTCCCTCATTCCATTTAGAACCCCCGTGTCTCCACCCTTCCACCGGGCACCTCCTCCGTGATAACGGTTGAAAGACAATTAAGAAACTGTTAAAAAAAATAATAAAGAAGAAAGGAAAAAAAGTTAATTAAGATTTTTATCACAATTCAAGTATTTTTACACTTTGACAGCTGTTCCGAGCGAAAAATATAATGTTATTATTACGCATGACGTGAACTGAAATGCAACCATACAGAATAATTGGTTTACTTAAAGACTGTACCGATGTAAACTAGGGGTGTTTTACAAAAGAAAGGGAAAAGATAAGTAAGATAAGAATGTTAATTGAGTCTTCTTCTGTATTGCAGATGCCATGGCAGGTAGACTAACGGATATTACAACCGACTCGTCGAAGTCAAAAAGCTCAAATTCAAGTCTTCCCACCAGCTCAGAGCTGGATCTAGAATTCCAATCGGACGCCACAAGTCCGCCTTCCGGTCTCATTGAAGCCGCGGCGGGAGTAGCCAGCTGCTTAGAAGAAACGGTCGATACGGTATTGAAATCCAGTCCGAGGTCAAAACGGAAACAGCTCCACAATGCGAGCACGGATATTTCGTTAGCCTTGGGGTCAGTTTACACCAGACAAGATTTGGAGAAAACCGTAGGCCCGTCAGAAGAGGATCTAGATATCACTGACGACGACAAAGTGAGCAAAGATCACCAAGGAGCGAGGAATGAAGAGAAGGGAACGCGGTCGCAGAGTGGTGTTTGTCAGCGATCTCACAGTGAAAGATTAGGAACGTGGGGTAATGAACCGTCCGACTGGAACGAAGGGAAAGGGACCAGGCAACAAGGAACGACCCGGGACAGCGAGAGACCGGTGAACATCAAAGCGAAAATGGAAGGTGTTGTCATTACGAATAGGAGTACAAACCTGCCGGACGCGGAGGCTGAATGGGGGCAAGGCAGGCAGCAAATGGTGGAGTTTGCAGAGAAGTTGAGCGAGAAACTGCGGGCTGAGATCGACAAGAATCAGGAACGGGAGATCATCGATGTGGAATCGATTCCGGCAAGCATGGAGGATCCGTACATTCAGCGACTGAACAAGGAGTTGGAGAATCTGAACGAGCTCAGTCAAGAGATCCACAGCACTCTTTGGCGAAGGGGTTTGGACGAGGAGCCGGAGAAGAGATCCGAGGGGAAACTACCGCTCGATGTGCCGTCGGATGAAACAGCAGACGTTGACAAAACACAGGAACAACATACGATGGTCAAAACCATGATGGTGGACTCGGAGGAAAGCAAAATTTCAAAGACTGAACCTTCGCATAAGAGTTCGGTCACGACTGTGATCGAGGGCGGGACCAAGTCGGGCGACGCCAGCGCTGACAGCTCCGGCGAGAGCTCGGAAGCGGAAGCCGGAAGTTGGGCCGACTCGAGAAGGAACACGATCACGTCTCGAACCGACAGTAAATTACGAACCGCCGAGGCGAAGACTTCCATGGAGTCGCAAGACGTTAAACCGGAGTCGGTAATAAACGCGGCAGAAAAACCGAAAGTACCCAGGATACCCGAGATGAAGCGGATCGAGTTGCTATCGGGGAGCGAGGTGTCCCCTCGTCGACCGAGCATATCGGTGGAAACGACCGAGCCCTGCGGGAGGATAGTCGCTGGGAAGAGCGAAGAGATGCTCCCAGAGATAACAGCCTTGCAATCGACCCTCTCGGTGGAGTCCAGCGAGGCTGGAGATATCTCTGACAGGACGGTGGGGAGCAGTAGCGACGGGAGCCGGTCGGAATCGAGACGGGGGACTATAGTCCCGACGGAGACCTCCAGCATTATGTCCCTCCGTCCAGGACTATCACTGGAGTCGAGCGAGGCTGGGGAAAGCGGGAGCGTTAGTGATATCTCGCGGGCCGGCGACTCGACGAAGAACACGATCTCTTTCGATGAACCTCCGAGCGGGAGTCAGATATCACTGCTCCGACCCGGCGCGTCCATTGAGTCGAGCGAGTACGGTGATATCTCCGACCGAACGGCGAGTGGGAGCGAGACCAAGGGCTCCTCCTTCGGCGCCGCCAAGACCGACTCCACCGCCTCGCTGACGTCCGACCGGTGGAGCGACTGCAGCAAGGACATCAAGTTCGCCGACAGGAAGATCGCTCGCTGCGACGGCCGGTCGTCGTCCGAGGAGACGGTCCCGCGGCGGGCCTCGCTCATCCACCAGCGGGCGTCGATCCCCTGCCCGCAAGCGACGGACAAGGTCGAGGCCGAGAGCACGGACACTTCGATGAGCGACTCGACGTCGCAGGACTCCATGATGTCCGACTGCGCGGGCGGATCCATCACTTTCCACCGCTACTACCACGTCTTCAAGGAGGGGGAGTTGGATCAGCTTATCGAAAGCTACATAGACAATTTGCATATTATCTCGTCGTATTACGATCACGCCAACTGGTGCGTCGTCGCCGAGAAAGTTCAGGTTTGGACCATTTGAGCCGGGCAGAGGAGACCAACTTTCGTCGTGATAGACTACTAGACAAGGTGCGAATTTCAGGATTCTGATACATGTTTCTTCGCTAAAATTTCACGTAAAACACGATGCGTACAACGAAAATTACCGAAATCAACTCCTTCCGAAGATATTAATGATTCTTGGTGCGTGAATTCGAACCACCCGCTCATGAAAACTCAATGCTCTACGTGATTCACATCGCTCGTTAACGTTATCATGAACGTCTCTGCGATAAAAAAATCTGGCAACCTCAATCTTGACGCTTTGGCTCAGCTATAGCAAATTACTTATATTTTGAAAAACACATGGTGGGAAATAAACATTGCTCGATTGAGAAGATTGCTGAAACCGTTGTAGTGCGCGATTTGACTCACGTAGAGCTTTGAGTTTCTTGTGAGCGGGCAGTTCAAATTCCTCGTAACCAATGTGAAATAAAAATGTTAATAGCTTCGTTAGGAGTTGGTTTCAGTAGGTAATTTTCGTTGCGCGAATCGTGTTCTACGTGAAATTCTGGTTAAGATACATGTATTAGAATGCTTAAATTCGTACCTTGTGTAGTGGTCCATAGTTGGTTTGTATGTCGTCCCATCTGCGGCCCGATTATTGAAACTATGTCAGCCCGACATGAAAAGACATAGCCCTACCTTAACCGTGCAATATTCTGGAATTTGATGTCTTGTCGGGTTGCTTTAAACTTTCAATAATCGGCCTGCTGAAGGACGTCTTCAGAGCTGGGTAGACTCAGGCCTCTCCGGTTTGGGCGTCTTGATAGCACACCGACAGCGATTCGTCTAGGCACCCCTAGGTAACTTCTCGACTATTTTTTAGGAAATGACAGCATTGTATTGTATCAATGGTATTGAGGTTTAAAATAGACAGAAACGATCAATTCACGCTAGATGATAGAGAAATTCGCGAGATCGAAACACCATTTCCTCCTTCCGGCGTGAAGGTGAAAAACAAAAGAGAGAAATCATCAGATTTGAGCCCACTTTAAACCGCGTGCCTGTGTTCTCGGTTTCACTGAACTTGACGTTGCTGTTCAGATTAAGCCTCCGACTTTTTGCGCAAGCTTGCAGTGACACTTTTTCTCGTCGTAGCCACAGCACTGATGAGGACCCAAATATTTGAGTCTTAGATGAGAAAGAAGGTTCGGCAAAATTGGTACGAATGAGGACTGAAACTTCAGCTGTACAAGGTGTACACACATGAACTGCCCTTGGCACGCGCATATTCTTGGGATACTTGTCAGAGAGGAAAGAATGACTCTCGTACTCTCGTAAGTGTATCACACATACTCGACTCCTATGAATATTAATAAGATGTCTGAAGGGTGTACATTTGATTGAAAAGAAACCATTGCTGAGAATATTATGAGCACACAGCAATTGCGCTTAGAAACGCATTTTGTAGGAAAAGATAAAATTGTGGAAAAAGTATGATTTTAGTGTTATTCACAGACTAGGCACGACTTTCAGTTTCTACCTCTTGAAGTTCAACTGAACTGGAGACTCGACAGCTAACGAGGATTTATCTTGCGATGTGCCCATGGACAAGATGCGAACATTAAAGTTACACGATTCCTCATCAAAATTTTATAAAAGACACGATTGGTGCAGCAAAAATTATTGAAAATAATTCCGTCTCCGAGATGAAACGTTTTTCGGTGAATGAAAATCAACTTCCCGCTCGTTAAAAAAAATAACAAAAAGTAACCATTATCTACTTGAGTAAAGAAAAACGTTTTGCAAAGAAAGATATGGCAGCGTTAATCTTGGCGTTTCAGCTCAGCTGTTGCATGTTGTTAACACTTAGAAAAACATAGGAAACATAGAAACATAGGCGGGGTAGGAACACTGTTTGATAGAGAAGCCTGCCAACACAATTGAAGTGAGCAATTTGATTCACGTTGACTTTTTTTTTTTTTTTTTTTTTTCTGTGAGCTGGAAAATGAAATTTTCCGAAACCTAAACCCTAAATGATAACGCTATTCTTGTGGTTAAAAGTTAATATGAGTAATATTCCGCATCAATCGTGTTCTGTGTGAGATTTTGAAGAGAAAATATATTCAAATCCCGAAATGTCTTGCCTAATTGTTCATTAGAATTGTCAACTTGAAAGTTTCATTAATTTTTTTCAGCATCGATGAGCAGTTTTTTTTAGTTTATAGAAATGAAAGAACCACAGTAATGATCTCAATCTCCATCAGTGTAAGAAACTACTTTCGAGATGAGAAGTTACCTATCTTCAACATATAGGAAAATTTTTTTCAGGATGGTGAATCCGATTATTGTTACCATTTTAGTGGGTTTAAGTAATTTGCCAAACTCAACATCTACTCATGTGACTATCCATTGACTCTTGAATGACTTGACAAAATAACTACTTCCTTCTCCTACCTAAATGAAGGAAATATACAAATTCTTGAATATGCTGTACCTAAGTACATTTATTAATGACCCCTTACTCTTCGAAGAAATAAGTACAATGTGAAATCTCTTAAACTTCTTCCTTTATGTTTTCAACAACTTTAGACCCTAATTTAAGAACTATCAGATGCCTTATTAGAGACTTCACTGAACTAAGAGTAAGTAGTTCTTCAATGCTCCCTAGATTTAATGTCACAGATGACAACTCTTGACTTTCGTAATGCATATTATGAACTTTGTACAAAGCATGTCTAGATAACTGAATAAATTTAAGTACAAGACATTAGCTCATTTTTGAAAGAGTGACCTTCCATTTTCTCCCCTCTAAAATGTTTATGATCTTAAATGTGAATGAAAAAATTGAATAAGTACATTTTTGAGTTTAGTGGATTTTAAAATCTGAATGTTTCACCAATTCAATTTTAAAAGTTCTGAGTAAAATCTTCAGATCCCTAGGAACAGTTTTCCACTGCTGTAATAAAAATATCCGTAGTCTTGAGTAAAAGTTAAAGCCAAATTTCATGCTCTTATTATGAGTAAAAGATTCATAAACTTGACAAAAAAGTGAATAAAGTAGACCAGGAGTTGAGAAATGATTGTCAAAACACTCAGTGAATGCTTTTCATTGATCACAGGATCACACAACAAGACTGTCGCGCTTAGTTCCAAAAAACTGGAAAAAAGTGGGCTGGTAGGAGCCCACTACCGCAGGTGGATGTGTAAAAGTTCTGTGTAAGTTTACACTGCAAGTGCAGGATTGCAAGTTTTTGAGAAAATTCTCAAAGCATATTCTGGAAACTCTAATAACGTGACATTATTTTCTTTGGAAAGAGGTTGAAAAGACTTTGTGAATTTACAGAGCAGAAAACTTATTGGATGAGATCATCCATACATTTAATTTTTATAAAAAATATGGAGACTCTAATACATGATGCCTGAGTTTTAGGAACTTGTAGTAATTACTACTGAATCACTCAAAAATAAGAAAATTGACAACCCTAAACATTTCTTTTATCAAGCTTAAAACTCGGGTATCTACTAAAATTCTAATTTGATTGATTCTCTATTGTCATGCATTCTTGTGCCCACGTTGTATAGAGAGTTTGACTTCATGATACAGCAAACACAAAAAAGAAAAGAAGAAGAAAAGAACCCTCTTTAAAGATGAGTTTTAGGCACAAGGGAAGGTTTTCAAATACAAGGAATACTTCTGGCATGAGTTTACTGAAATTCATCTAACAGAAAGTTCCAAGTCACATTTTGAAAAAAAACATAAGTTGGTAGTTGGTAATTTTGAGCATGGCTAGCTGCATTTCTTCCTATAAAAAATTTTAAGTTGAAAAAAAATGATTGGAACGTGAAAATAGGTACTGAACTTAGTCTCTAACATTGAATCGTGTGGAGGGATAAAATTAAACCTTTTTTAGTCTTAATTTGATCTTAATGGAACTTGGTGCAATTTGATGAGGCTCAGTCCAACTGGAGTTCCGCAGATAAACATTTCTTATTAACTAATTCCTGCTTTGACTTTTGAATGTGAATCAAAAATTGATCTCCATTGAGATTAAACTTTTTACTAACTGTACTAAACTTAGATATATTTCTATGTATTGAAATAGAGTCATCACAATTATACTAGATCTTTTGATTCTATTTTTTTTTTTTTTCAATGTATATTTATTTTTCCTTTTGAACATAACTTGACAAATGAATGGGACATCACGTCCTGAGATTAATGTTGCACGATTAACAAGAGATCTTCTTTAAAATTTCCAATATTCGTCACTCTGAAGAAAAAGTGATTGGGTTAGAAAATACCAAAAGGCTTTAAAACTAATAATTGGCGAAGAACAGTTTTTGGAGAAGTAATTCTTCAGCTGTCTACCTTGTGATCATTTCAATGAGCTATAGACGACACAGGAAAATTATGTCTGTTTTTTCAACCTCTAGGATTTTTTCGAGCCACTAATAGTATCCATTTGAATGAGACAAGTACGAAAATCTGAAATTAGAGATGAGACTGAGAAATTTAACTTTCTTACTTGAACACTGACTTGATTTATTGATTGTCTCCGTAACTGGTTAGAATAGATTAGAGATAAAAACATTGTAATTCACAGAAAAAGCTGATACAAAGAAGGGTTTTTTAAAGATATTTATTTTCTCTCTCAATTTCCATTGCGACAGGCTCAAAATTGAATAAAAGATGCTCAGTTCATTTTGAACAACGTTAGCACGGTATTTTTTTCCTATGAAATTTTGGAAACTAACATTGTGATGACTCTGGCAAAAATGTAAAAATGGTTGTTACGCTCTTCAATTTGAGAACTTGTTGTATTAATATTATAAATTTTACACAATCAATTTTTATCAAACTCTTTGTAAATATTGTAACTCTGTACATACTTCATTCGGAAGAAATAGAAAAAATAAACAAAATTGTTCATCTATCCAGAGTTTTTTTATTTCTCAGGTATTTTTGAGTGAAGGGAGTAATATTAGGAATGAATTTTTTTCATTGTGCGCCTGAACTAAGCAACTCATGTGTATACAGTCAATTACATTCCAGCTTCATTTGTTTATTGGCTAGTGATTGCTTAACGAGGAATTCAAACTTCTTAAATGAGAAAAATTCATCGAAGAACTCAGCTACAAAAACAGGAAAGATCTATTATGCTTCATCAAAGGACATCATGCCTCTGAAAACCTTTTGAATCAGAGGAGAAAAAGCGGGACGGAGAATCGCAAAGTTGAATAAAGTTTTTATAAGCTCAGAGAACTGATGCTTAAAAAATAAAATCTTCTAAAAATTCCAAACCAAAAAAATTTCATCTTCTCAGAAAAAAAGAGAGCAAAAAAAAAAAATGATAAAATAAAAAAATGGGATTGTGCTTCGGCAAAAGTAGTTTAAAATTATTTCCATGATGAGAAGGGGTACTTTGTTTTGTCAGCAATGTATCAATACTGAGCCCTGTCACTTTTATGTGGTGACAGTTGACATATGAACAACTATACTATTCCATGATTTAGAGGTAGAAAATGGTGTATGCTAATGTAATGAATATGTGACTGGCTTTGATCTTTTGACCAGCAAAATGGAATATTTGGCGGTAAAAGAGAAGCATCAACTTTCCCGCAGTGGCCATGAATTTGATAGCTAGAAAAAGGAGAGAAACATAAACTCAAAACAGTCACTCATTCTGCTAACTTCTATTGAAAATCATGCGGCTCTATACCTTGTAATAAAAACTCACATGGCCACTGGCTGGCTTCAACAGGCATCACCTCACGCAATCATTATCATCACCTCTTCATCTCTGAAATATTTTAATCAAAGCTCTATTGGTAGTTTTTAACATACATCAAATCTCAAAAATTTTTTGATGGAAACAAATTTACTAATTATCATTTGAAGATCTTTATCGCCTTCTGCGGCCACTTCTTAGCCTCATAGGATATTTATCGTGTCAACAAAGGAAAAAATATTGTTCAACTCAACGAGATTTTCATGCGATTTAATACATGAAAAGTCTGTTCACTTAACAGACCCTCGGCAACAATTGCTACTCTTTCACAGATTTTGATGGTACTTAAATCAAACACTGTTCATCACATGCGTATTATTTTTTATTCTTGTTAACTTCACTTGCACATTAATTCATAATCTCTTATTTTTAAGCTCTTTGGTTTCATTTTATGAGACACTAAAAGCGATTCATTAATTTAAAGTTGAACAAAAGATAGATTCAGTCCTTTTTTCCTCTACCAAGGAGGACAAAGTTTACCTTACAGGAAAAAAAAATAAGGAACACCAAGGAAAAGTTAGGTGCTTCGGTTTTCGTAAAAAACATCATCCTCTACTAATTGAGGACAGCGAGATCTCACCCTCTACTTATTCATGAGTGTCAGCAAATATTTCAGCTCAGAAACGCTTTGCAGGATGCTTTTCAGCTTGATTGAAAAAGGACACGGCAGACACAAGATTTTTAAAACCAATTATTACAAATTGTTGGATTATTATCTTCAGAATTGACTGATACAGAGGAATGCCACAGAGGAGGGTGTTCCTTCATTTACTAGGTTTTTTAATAAATATGCCTCTAATTTTGAAAATTGAATGTTCGGCTTGGGAGAAAAATTTATCACTCTGACACACCCTGTATAAGAATGTAAGTCTTTCATGTATCACCTGTGATGTATTCCATATTGCCACACTAGAGTTCAAAGTGTTGAAGGAAAATGGAACAAATCTTTGTAAACATAACAAGGTATGATGACTGATCCGACTAACAAATAATCTGCAGTTCATTGGTCCAAGTACATACAAAGGTTGTCTCAAAAGTAATGCGATTGAGTTGGTGCACTTGGATGTTAAGAAGATGCACTACTACTTACCGTAAACAACAATGATAATGAACTATGAAATGCAGTAGAAGAATAAGGATTATATATGTATGATGTTTCAAACCTTAAGAACTTGTAAATTTCTGAGATGACCCAGTTTGAGGCATCGTAACACTTTCACAACGCAAAACTTTGATATAGAAGCTAGACTACTAAAATTGAAAAAGTATCGGGAAGTTCTGAGTTTTTTAAGGTATCGAAATGCGATATTAAAATAAATGATACCTTCTAATTTTTACGTGGCTAAAAGCCAGTGGAGGGGCACAAGATTATTGTATCTTAACATGGACAATGATTTTGGATAATTTTTCTCCCCTGAATGCAGAATTATGTACTTCTCAAGTTAAATTCAAACACTTGTGTATAAAAAGGTATGATGAAAATTCACGGAGTATTTTAGCTTGTAAATACAACTTAACAATTACTGATCAACAATTAAATAATACACATTAAAAACTCAAAAGAGGAATAAAAAAAATTTCCTTCACTGAATTAAAGTAAATCTGTGGAACTCGACGTTAAAAAAAAGAGAAAAAATTAAAAAACCTGCTTGAAAAAAGTTACAGGTGATAGCATAGATCAAGAGCACGGATCGATTGATGCTTTCTCAACAAAGTAAAAATATCACAAGAACACTTTTCCCGCCATAGGAGGAAACCAAAAAATGCAAACATTAATAAATTAATAAATAATTCAAGAAAAAAAAAGGGGGCTTACGATTGCGACTTCAGACAAAATAAGCTGCTAACTGCGCCATTTTGTCTTTGGGTGGTCTTGCTTTGCCTTTGTGTTTGGAACGAGCACCTTTACCGCCTTTCCTAGCAAAATTCGCAGGTTTTGATGCAATGGCTTTGTGCTTGTCAACTAAGGGGAGGAATTCAGGGGAACAAAAGACACAACCAACCATCTCCGTGGCATCTTTCGGGAGTTTAGTCTTATCCTGGAAAAAAAAAAAAAAACCTCATTGGTGGGTGCTCAGGGAGCTCAAAATAAAATGTACATTCTGACAGATTTGATTTAATTGTACTTGCACACTAACTTCAGAATAAATATAGATGGATATTAAGGCGCTGATTATCATTAATTTGACTTTGATGGACAACAAATTTACACCTTTACAAGCCTTATGATGTTGATGCTAAACAGTTATGTACATACTTTTAGAGCTCAAGCAACTTAAAAAAACAACAAAAAAACATCTTACTTCTGAAACTTTGTTAGTGATTTTGTTAAGTTTTTCTGAGGTTTCCACAAGAAATACATTTTTAAAGCCTTTTAACAGACTTTATGGCGAGTTTATCAAGGGTACTCAAAGACATTTTCATTAACAATTGATCATCCGAAAATCTGTGTTGCGAGATGATGCAGTAGCTACTTAAAATTCACTCGGCAGTGAAGAGAGAAAAAGGAATGTTACATAGCAGTACAATTTTTGTTTTTTAAAAACAGCTAATGTTAATAAAAAAACAAGCACTCTTAGTGTGATGAATAAATCTTGAATCTCCAATATTAGATCTAGGGATAAAAAGCGTCCAAGTGCTTAAAAAATTTGTCTTATAAATCTAATACATTTAAATCCTTGAAAGTTGAAAAATTATCAAGTTATTACTTTTTCATGCAAGATGACTATTGATCACTGATCATTGGCATATCAAACCACATAAAGTCAACTATTTAATGATGGAAATACTTAAATAACATTGAATTTCAGCATGAGCTGATCATTTTTCTTTGAACCAGAATAAATAGTGCAGGAAAGAAATCCTCGCACAGTTTTCCACAAATGTTTAGGCAAAAATTGCTAATGATCAATGAGGAATTACCAACATAATACAACTGACCTCTTTATACTCCACTTTCACTTGCTGCGCACCGCAGTGACAATTGGTCTCTTCAATGGATACCTTCTGAGCATTTTCAAATAGATGAATGATCACATCACACCTAAATTGAGAAAAAAGACATGTTTAAAGAGGGTGATCTGGGGACACAGAATATTTAACTTACCACTCATTTTTGAAAAATTCCATCAAAACTAAAGGATAATGCCCTAAATACCAAGATTTCTTGGTACCAGCATCACATAAATTTTTATTCGATTTTAAAACCACCCTTTCTACATAATCATCTAGAGAAGAGCCATGCTGTAAAGTGTATTTTTGGGCATTGTAACTCGCAATATTTAATATAAATGTTGCAATATCTGAATGATGATTAAGGGGAACCTTTTTTTCCTTACAGGCCAGGAAGGTAAGGCGACAAAAATAATTTACCTTGATTATCTTCTCAAAATAATCTAATTCCTCTGAAAGATAACAGCATGCGCCACAGCGGCCTCAAACATAGCGCAAGTCCTGCATCTCTAGTAGAAAATGCATGGAAGACGGCAGAAAAATTCACAATTCTGCCCTGATTTTCTCAACATTAGCACATGAAAAATTTGATTTTAAAAGCTTATTTTGCTCAGGAGGTCGTGAGGAGCATCATATCAAAAAATATCGAAATTTAGCTGGTGCCAAATTTTTTTTGTATTCTTAGTGTGGCTCTTCATCATTTACATATACAATACCACAACTTAACTCTTTACCATGACTTACTTTAATTTGTGAACTTATTTGAATTAATGTGGCAACATTGGAATGCTGACACAAAATTTTTCAATGGCACAGAATTTTATTGAATTGTGTAAAATTTCAGAGAAAACGCTGTGACTCAAACCTAAGTATGAGCAGAGGGGTTGAAGTGACTTCTTTAAAGATATTTTAGTGTCTATAAATACTAATATATATTACAGTAATAATATGGAAATAACAGTATCAGAGGAGAGGCGTTTAAAGTGATGAGACAGACACCTACTTGTTACAAACGAGTTTCCATTTAGGAGCAGCCGGTGGATCTAGAATCAGCAGTCCTTCCTCACACTGAATACATTCAGATAAACTATTCTTAAATATGCTGTGAGCGCAGGTTGGGTGAACGCATTGGTTGCAACCACTTCCTTTCTTCATTTCCCTAAAAGGCGGATTATTATAGCAATATGGACAAAGAGGGAAACTTTTCCCTTTCACACCGGTTGAGAAATAGATCATTTCAAACTCATCAAGAGGACACTTCAGTTCCTGAAAGAAAGACGCAAATTGCAAATCGTTATGTAAAGTGTGAGGTAAATGGAAACATCTATTTACCTGCAGGTTCAAAGGAGGTCATAATTGACTACAGAGTTTGAATTTTAGACTGGGAGCCCTTTTTGCAGATCAAACAGAATAGAAAAATTGATGGATTATCAGTAATCTAAGTTGCTTCAATTTTGAACACAGGGGGGAGATTTGAAATTTATTTATTTTATAAGACTCAATGTTCAGGACAAACTAAGATGAACATGTGCTTTCATGTTTAAAATATGTTTTTCTGGCTTTGAATTTTTGACCAGAAAAATTTAAAACTGGTTGAACTGAAAAATACTCTCAATTCATTTTTTTCTGAAAAATGACATGACTTTTCTGTTAACTTGGCCTAATCAAACAAATTTTGAAGAAAATTCAATTTCAGAAATTTGCTTGATACTAATCTATTTTGATGCACGGTAGAATGAAAGCAAGCTCTTTACCTTGTAAATCCTGACGTTTCCGTTCTGCGGTAGACTATAAGTTTCATCACAATGGGAACAATGTAATCGACTAGGTTTTGCTTGAATATACTTCATGTATCGCCTGCATTTGCCACACCTATGGAAACAGAAATTTCTAAATACATAAAGAGCATTTGAAAGTTGCTATTAAGCTGCCACTCAGTAAAAATTTACACACAATGAGGGAATGTTTTTTTCACGAAAACAGAGGACAGATTACAGTTTGAGGAACGTAAACCTAACATTTCAGCCTCATGGGGATAGGGCATAACGACGGTGAAACTACCAAACCACGTATCTCGTTTGCGGTGTTTAAAAATCTACGCTCACATTTTATTTTTTGGAAGTAGACCAAATCAATATCATTCCTTGAAATTTTCACAGAATTTTCTCCGCGCGAAGAGGAAAAATCACAGAAATTTTCAAGACTGGACGTTAGATAGTTTTTCATTAAAAAATAAAGTATGACAGGAAGTCTGCGACGTCGCAAACCGAGATACGTGGTTTGGTAGTTTCACCGTCGATAAATTTTAGGTGACATATTCTCATTCACACCCTTAAAGGTACTATGCGAAAAACTTGAGCTTGACTAGAGAGGAGAGTTTTTGCATAAAGTGTTCACGAATTTAAGTGATGCATACAGGACATCAAGTTTCTAAAAACGAGTGACCTACTGAATAGTGCTTAATGGCCGACCATTTCATGATAAACTGAGCTTTCTACAATTTACATTCATAATATATTGAACTGACAATTTCGGCATCATGAGGTTTGCTTTTACAAGGGCTTTATTGATTTCCCTTTGCCATGGGGTTTCTCTCTTTTCTCCATTTCACACGAACGATTCCTCACTTTACGCAACCATGCTGGTCCAGTTGCTTAGTTAGGAATTTTCTGCATCCCTGCACACCATAGTCAGGGTATTCTTCCACAAACTGAGACTTTTAGATTCAAAAATGATTTGCATCATCTTTAAAATGGTCTCTACAACTGTCAATTTCATCCCATAAAGTCATTAAAGCTCACTTACCTAGACAGGGCTTTCCCAGTATTGGCTAGTGTTGAGAATGAAACCTCAAAAAGTTGGTCCATATTACTGATGTGCTGTACAAAATAAAGGAACTTCATGTGGAAGACGACAAGAGTGTGATCCAGGATTTCATTAAAATCGACTTTGCCATGGGCTATAAGATTCAATTGTTCTTCAACAGCAGAACGCATCGTAGGTAGAACCAATTCCGGATCAATCTTTAAAAATAATAAAACTTGATTGTAAAAAAGCTTCTTATTACAGGAAAAAGTGAACAGAACTACTTGTAAAGTTATCAATTGCATGGGTGCATTTGTAAAAACATCTACTTTTACGAGAAAATCAAACAAAAAATATGGTAGTTCTCTAATAAAAGGAACCAAGAAAAATTATGTTTCACATGAAACAGAAAAAAGTTGATTTGTGATTTGGTTTCTACATTACTAGAGGGAAAAACTAAAGAATCTTCTTTATTCTTGGACCTTGAAACCAAAAAAAAAATGAACGGACAAGAGACTTACTTTCTGGTAACCATGCACTAGAACGATTCCAAGATTGGTTGGTACCAATCGCCGTCCGGACGAGACAGACACATAGTTCCGCTGACAAATGTTGTTGATGTGGACAGGAATTGATGCATCTGTTCCAATTCCATGCTTTTCCATCAAAGTAATCAATTCTGACTCTGTCAGGTAACCAGGCGGAGATGTTTGACCTTCACACAATTTGACCTGAAATTTAAAAGGTAAGAGAACTCAAATTTATCTCCTATTATTTCAACTCAGTAATTAAGTGGGCTACTTCCTGAATAAGATCAGGCAATTGATCCATCATATTTTGTAGTTGTGAATGGGAGTCCTGTGTTTCCACTTCAACCTAAAGCGACAGAGCAAACAGAGCTGGTAACACTGTTTGTCTCTTTATTAAATCTTCCGGTCTTGATAAATCAACAGACATGATGAGAATTGATCATCACAACACATGTTTTCTTATCAAAATTTTGTGTAGAATAAATGAACACATCAACCGATTTCAAATTCATCTCAAGAATGAGTGATTAGCATTTGTTATATTTGAATTAGTAAGTAGCAATTTTTTTATGTTTGTCAAGGGACCACTGGACACGGTACAAATTTAAGTATTTTATCATATGTTTGCTCATTAAAATTTTGCATAGAGCACAATTTGTGCAGCAAAAATTATTGAACGCACCTCCTGACTGAAATATTAACATTTTTTTGATGCATAACTTCAAGCCCACTGCTCATAAAAAAACCATAACCTACTTGAGATAAATATTACACGAAACGTTATCGCAAAAATCTCTGCAGTATGAAAACACAGCAGCCTCAATCTTGGTGTTTTATTTCAGCTGTTGTACATTATAGGCACCAGGAGCGACGCAGGGCGCTGAGTAACATTGTTCGATCAAGGGACCTGTCCAAACCATTATAATGCACGATTTGATCCCTGTTCAGTTTTTTTTTTTTTTTTGAGGAGTGAAAAATTCAGTTTTTTAGGTAACCAACACTTAGTACAAAAGTTACTTCCTTGGTAAGGAGTTAATTTTGGTAATTTTAGTTGCACACATTTCATTCTACACGAGAGTTTGAAAAAGAGACAGATGTCAGAATGCTGAAGTTTATACCTTGTCAAGTGGACCATTTCAACTTTCCACTTGTAAAAGAGACCTGACACATTGTGTCAAATAAACCACTTACCTGATTTCAGTGTTTACAATGCAGTAATTTTTATTTTTTAAAAAGTTTATAATTAGAATGCATTAAAGAAGAAAGGAAGGAGATTTTTGAAGAATTCAACATTAGACATCTGTTCAATGTTAAATTTGTTTTAATGATGAATTAGACATTCGTTAACCTCCGTTTGTTTTGAAATTGATGTTAGAATTCCCTGAATCTGCTTGAAACCCTGATTTTCTTTTTCGTGAGTTGATTTTGGACTTTTTGAATATGCTCAATATATTATATATGAAATTTCAGAGAAGATACACTTTTTGAGGTGTTTTGACTCTTGCTATGTACGGTTGTTCATTGGAGGCAATTTCTTTTAGGGAATTGTAGTTGTTTTACTTAGAGAGCCTGCTTACAGTTTCATTTTAGAGGGAAAAAAAAATTGAAATGATTACGTGTGTGCTAGTGAAAAAATACTGCCAGAGAGCAGTATCGAGATTTCCAAACAGGGGTGAAAAAACCTAATTTTTATCATTCTGAAGACTATCATCACATTACCAGGTAAATTTGTCTTTACAAGATATTTTACTTACTTGTTCCCACCAGTAGCATGAAGAATCAACGCTTGCTGAAAATTACACCGCTTCTGTCAACTATTTACAACTTCGAAAATATGTTTCATATTTTCATTTTATCCTATATGATCATAACAATTAATGTTTCTTCTTTTTCTTTGATACACCAGTAAGGTAAAAGGTACCCGCTGGTCCTATGGTAGAACTGTTCAGGGAGAGGAGGACTCGCGAGCACAAGACAGCTATGAAGAACAAAATTAAATATAATTGAAGGATACTCACCAGTTTGACACGGACTTTATCACCTCTTTTGAGATCTGGTACTATTTCATTTTTGCTGATAGCATGCTGAGGCATTACAACAGTGTATCCCATCTCCAAAAGAGTCTTGCCAGTATACGTAAACGACTCACCATTGACGTTAAAAGTAACTGTTGTGCTTAAATACTTACAATCTCTCTCCACCTTAAATCAAAAACACAGATATGATTTACTCACTGAAACACGGTTACAGCTATTTTTTAAGGATCTTGCTTCCTTATGAGACCAACCTTCATAGCGCATTATTTTGAGATGCAATCCCCCATCCGACTGAAGCCTGCATGATATAAAATTGGTTCATTCTGAAATGATCCTTCTTCTGACTTTAATGATCCATGGATGGCTGATGCCCCTTAAGATGGTTCATCAAGATCCATTACAAACAGTCATGATTTCCCCAAATCATTGAATGCAGCTAGGGCTGATTGCACTTATCTCATGATGCTTGTCACATGGTGTGGCAGGCTATGCGAGTGCACCTTTACACCTCTACAGTGTCTCCTTGACTTTAAAATACTCCTTACTTTCACATTGCCTTCTCTTTACTTTTTTCTTTCTCTCACACAGATTTCTCTTTGAAGTAATTTCAAAATTTCAATATTTGTGCTTTCTGGTTGACAGTTGACACTCTGATCTGATAAAGCTACGCAAACGTTAATAGTTAACTGAAATTAAAGATTTTACTCACAGTGGCTAGAAAATGACGGACAATGTAACTGTAGATTCTGTACATATCATTGTCCATTTCATGGCGATGAGCCAGTTTCATTGGAGTAATGGGTGGGTGATCACCCGCATCATGACCTGTTCTTGGCCTGTTAATGCCATTTGCTAGAATATTAGCAACCTCCTTCCCCACTTCGCTGCTGTTTTGCTGCTGTTTCACGACCGCTCTACAACCAAACATTCAGTGTGATATTAAGGGAAGACTTAAGAGACAAAAATCGGACACAAAAACCTCTGTCGGTTCCATGGTAACAAAACAATCTTTTTACTTAGGGACTTCACTATTTAATTTACTCGAGAACATGTGAGCATGGTTTCATTGAGCAATAGCACTTCTTTCACAGACTGTTATGAAAAATTAGTCTGAAGATCCACCGAAAATTTTTCAAAGAGTAAAGAGGTTAAAGAACAATTTTTATTTTTCCTGTTTTGAGAAAAAGTTTGTACCTTCACACCGTACGTATAGGTTGGGTAACTACTTCAGTCTTTGACGAAGAACTATGCATGGAATACCAAAAAATGGTACTGGTTAAATTTTTGGATTATTCTACATAGTGTTACTTACAGCTTCCTGATCACAATGAGCTTTTAAGATCAAACTCCCAAAAGCCCACCTTGAAGAGAGAGGGGCTGAAAAGTGAATTACTTTTGAACGCAATATCTGGTAGAAATTTTGCAATATCATGCTGATGATCGAAGAGAGCTTCTCTCCTCTCACCAGTACAATAAGGCAGACAAAAGAATCAAATTCCTCTGAATGATAACAACGTGTAGCGCAGAATCTGCACACACATAGCAACATTGTCACATCCCTATGAGAACGCGCCTATAAGAGGGTTCAAAAAATGTTCTTTTCAGCCCTGCTTTTCTTTTGCATCAAGGTCATACTGGGAAGTAAAGATTATAAGTTACAGTGCTGTCATGAGCTCTCCATGATTCAACAAAAGAAGGCATTGAAAAGTTGAAAATGAACCTTACAGCAAATTGAAACTTTCTGGATAATGAGTCGTCTCTGTCCTTGGATAACTGATATATCCTTGAGTGTAAAGTTTCTCAGCAAGTAACATGGTGTGATGAGGTCCCATATCGAGGTAGGAGGATCCCACTCTCATCAGTTCGACGGTGTTTAGAGCTTGGGGTCTTTGTTTGGCTTTTTCTTTTGCAACAACGCTTGTAACTCTGTAAATTGATGAAAGAAGATGAGATAAAAATTACACAAAATCATATTAGAATCAATCTATGGGAAAAATGTTAAGGAGAGAAGGGAAGGGGAGGGAGGAGGCTATAGAAACATAATGACAAATGCATTTCGGTGGATGCTGTGAGGTACCTTTAAAATCGTCATTGGTAAAATTGTAAAAGACATTTCTCATAAATCTTGCAACATCCGACAAAATGTCTTCACTATTCTTCTTAATGATGTTGATAAACAACCCTCCCATTGATTGAAACTCCCTATGAATATTTTTCTGAGAAAAGAAAATTAATCTTAAGTATAAACATTGATATTCAATGCTATTGGAAAAAAGAAAACATTTAGGAGAAAAACATTTTAGACATTGTAAAACAGAAACTTTGATTTAAAGAGAGTGAAAAACAAAGTCTGTTTCAATCGAAAATAAAAAATCATCCAAAAGCTTACTTTGAAAGCGTTTGAGAAGTGGCATTGTATATTACTGTCCTGTTTTCTCTACCACCAGTTAATTTGATTGATGTGTTCTGTAGGTGCCTTGCAGTTGAAAATTTAAAATAAATCTACTACTTGCAAGACCAACGCTTTCCGCACATATGCCCAGATGCTGAATGCATTTCATTTATGTATTTTCGTAAATTGGTAAAACTAAAAGATGTGCATTAGAAAGTATCAACCCTGATACTCTTGGCATTTTGACTAGTGTAGAGCTCAAGAATTTCTGTGTGTCCTGAATGTTACATGAGCTCTTGCATTTTGACGAAGTGAAAGTGTCGAAAACTTAGCCTCAGCTTGTTTATTAATTTCTTCATGGTTAGGGGAAAATCCCCTTGAATTCCCCCCTGGGAATAGAGCGTTTCTTCTTGTCTGCCCTGGGCTCCTTTGAATATATTAAAATATTATCCACCCTGATGAGCCCTTATATCCTCCACACTATTCCTATAGTAACTTTTCAATTTTTACTCAAATTGGAAAACAAAGAAAATAATATACTCACTCAACAAATGATAATTCACGCATTTCAGAGTACAATGCTGAAGTTACCTCTCTGTCAAAGAGATAGCCACGATTCCACTGGAGAGTCAAGTCATCACCACCTTGAGGGTTTTCAACTTTAATTTGAATGTACCAAAAGGGTTCCGGTTTGAAGGTCTGGATGGCATCATGCCTCTCGACGCAAAATCCGAGAGTAGGGGTCTGACAGGGTCCATAAGAGATTAAGGATGCGTCCAAATCACCGTATTTACCCTAAAAAGGTAAGTCATAATGTAAAAAAAAATTTGGGGTCATCGGAGAAAAATAAAAATATTTTTAGGATGATGACCACACACTAAGCTGGACAACCCAATATTTCTAAAATGAGATTTTCTTGAAGATTAGTAATTGAGCGCACATGCACTTATTAAATACATAGCTGAATCTTCTAATTGCTGTTAGCAAGACTCTGAAAATTGTATGGTTTTCTCCAACTTCTTAAGCCTCAGCACCAAGAAAATGATACGGATAAAAATCACTTCAGAAAATTTTTGTAAGAATTTGAGTGAGACCATGGGTTTTATTAAAAAAAATTCAGTCATTTGTGATTTCTACCTCATAGTTTTGCCTATAACTATGAGTAAACAATGCTTTACTGAATCTTTTACGGGAGAGTAGCTGATCAGAGAATAACATGCAAGGAAACTGAAAGCCATCTTATTCAATTTCAAGGGATGTACTTACTTGAAAAAATTTGGTCTGAAATCTAGTGAATGCACAGCCGATTCGTAAGTCCAATTCTTGTCGAGCGTCTACACTCCTTGCTTCATTCTCATTAGGTTTCACAAGATTTTCCATTGCAGCTTTAATATCTCTATCTGTAATGGCAGAAAATTTTGCTCGCCAAACAACCTGTTGAAAGGATGGACTGTAGTCAGATTCAAGGCAATATTTCAAAAGTTGATTTCAGCATGCAAAAAACACAATAATATGATCCCTAAAAACAAGGCAATATTGTGAAATATTCTTCGTAAAGATAGCCTTTTCCTAAATCATCTGGATTTGACTCAATCTTAATGTATAACACAAGATCGAATTTATACACACATATATTTGTCTGTTATTTCAAGAGATTTTTCTTTACATTTGCAAAAAAGAACACCAGAATTTTCAGACTTTCTGGAAGAATTTTCCTATGAAATATAAAATATTCATAGAAATACTGAAACAGTGCGGATGAAATATGTTTCTTTGTACAGGAGCTAATGCTAGATTTTCAGTAAACCAGGGGAAATGTGCAGAAAGGCTCAAGGCATTATGTTGGTTAGTTTTCAGTTGTAAAAAGATAAAACTTAAGAAGAGGAAATTAGGCAATGTGAAGTCTGATTCCCTTTAAAAGTGTTCAATTGATAAAATCTCTTAATCTCCCGAAAGTCTGATGCCTTACTTACATCGTGAACGTGAAGTGGTCGGCTGAGCGCAGATTTGACAGCATTCATGACTTCAAAACAGATATTTTCGCCTTCTTTGTCACAATCCAACCAAAGAACCAGATAATCACAACCTTTGGCCTCATGGTGCAAAAAACTTTGCATCTTCAACTTCGGAGTTGCCTCCTTTTTCTCTGTAGGACAAGTAAATAACTCAGCCTGCAAAAAAGGACATGAACGATATGTTAGGGTTCAAATTTTGCTGCCATGGTCAGGTAAAATGGACAACTAAACTGGGTAAAAATTAAATCACTAGATGAATGATTCTTAATCTAAATTAGGTGAAAAATACCCATAGCAGATTGAAAAGCAACATCGATCTATTAAAAAAGTTCGAATGAACAATGCACAGAGATTAATAACAGCCAAAGGTCACAAAACATAATACATACCAAACCCACACATGATAAATGCATGGTAATATTCTGGTAAGATAACACCATCGGTAAAATTACAAAATTGTGTGGTTCACTTTGTGACATTCCAGACTTCCTGCTATAACTGATATTCTGATTGGAAAAATATGAAAAATAATTTCTTAAAACCTTCTCTGATTTTTAATTACCCTGTCAATATTGGGTGAAAATTTCAGGCAATAGTGTTGGCCCCTGAGGTATAATAAAATGGGAGTGGAGATTTTGAGATACTGTACACAAGATTTGTGTTTTTATAGTTTCACCATTGATATGTCTTTGGGTCATGAATTATCCAGTTGGTAAATGTTTGATACAAGGAAAAATGCTGTTACCAAAGAAAGGTGACACTCATTCTTCCTCATTCTTATACAGATGGACTATACCAGTTTCAAAAGTCTGAGCATCCAAATGCGACCAATTTTGACCATCAATCTATACTAATTATAAATATTCATGGTAAGCAAGTGATCATTTTTAAGATACAAATAGACAAGGAAATAATATTTAACAGGGTTGCCACAGAATTTAGAAAACGAAGTTCTCTGAAATTTCCCTCTCACATTTTGGTGAAATTCCCTAACAATTGTAGATATGCCAGATGGTTAAAAAGGCACACTTTGAAATAGTTTAACACAACAGTTATTGCTTGAAATGTCAAAACTATTCTAGAAAGCAAAGAAAGATGACTTAAACATTTTTCCGTAACGCTTTCGTCATTTGCCTGACATTTCCCAGTTTTCCTTGAACATGGCAATCCTGATTTAACAAAATTTTTATTTATAATATTAAAATATTTGTCAAGAATACAAACCGGATCAACTTTATCCCAATTGTTATACTTTCCAATGAAGTCAAGCGTCATGACATGCCCACAAACTGACGTCATTTTAAACTTCACATTGTCTCCTCGAAAGTATCCGACCCACTCGTGAATGGAACACGCACCATTAGAACCTGCAAGAGAAACAATATTATGGACTTAAGCACCAGGCGCCATTACTCGAACAAAAGGAGAGGATGAAGAGAGGCACTTCTCAACAGTTGTTATAAACATTAATGCCTTTAAATGTGTTGAAATGCTACTGTGAGCCACATTTTAGTATGCTCACACTGGTGGCTGAGTAACAGAAAAATCAAGTTCACTTCACACAATGAAAGTTGAAAAGCCCTTCATTTTTCAAGTTAAAGGATACAGAGCAAATCCTTGAAATTCTTTTCAAATTACCATGGAATTTGAAAATAAGAAAACCCTACTGTTTCGGAAGTAACAATAAGCACTGTTCTGTGTCAAAACCTTTCATTCCAATTTAAATCCTGGACATGGGCTCCAAAGCTTGGTCCATGAGTTGACTGCGCCACTGTACAGTGTTGAAATAAAGAAGAGTAGGCCTACACTTCATCTAAGGCTTTCAGGCATCGATCTTATAATGTTAATGTTCGGGTTTGCACAAGAACTTACTTAATAATTTGAATTTGTTAAGAAAACTCACTTGCACATTGTTTTTTGCTTTACACCGGTCAGATGTGTTTCGGTCTCTTCGTGAGACCATCATCAGCGTGGTCTCACAAAGAGACCGAAACGCGCCCAACCGGTATAAAGGAAAAAACAATGTTAAAGTGAGTTTTCTTAAAAAATTTAAATTGCTCTTATACTGACCTAAAGGTTCAGAAAACATGGCTTGGGATCCGATTTGACAAAAACCTTCATCTGAATGCTGCTGCAACATGCATTTTCAACTCGTAACTGGTTTGATCTGATCTCAATTAAGACAGATTTCATGACTTCAGATTTATATTAAAAAAAAATATGATTGCAAAACTTGATCGAAATGAGTTCAGTACTAGAGGTGTCGTCAACTAAGTTGACAGTTGTTTACTTTCAGTTTGCAAGCGCCAGTGACGAATTTGGACCTCTGCACGAAGTGGCAATTGCTACTTTGCCTTGAAAACATCTGTCTCATGATCATATGGTAAAAAACTTCTTTCAGTTATGACTTTTATGTGGTTGCGATTTCTGAGTGGCTAAAAATTGAAGTGTTACGAGGTTTGAAAGTATTAAAAACCTTGTATAAGCTTGTATTCTTGCTTCTGCGAGAATCAGATGTTTACATGCGGATAAGACTGACATGAAAATGCTTGCAAACCGTCAACAAAGCTGACGATAGCTCTGCTTTACTCCGTAGGTATACCTTTACAGTAGGATGCGCACCTGCGTAGGACTCGGGAGAATGCCCATTTTCTAGATACAAATTTAGAATCTAATATGTATTATTAAGAGTGAGAAGTTTATGCCAACTGTCTTTTTTTCAATGCAAGATGAATCAGATTTTCGAGATTTGCATATTAAAATATGCGATTAATGAGAGATTAAAATGGACATGTTACATTTCTGATTCCAGTTGGACCTTACCTTTTCTGGTGGAGTTTTTCCCATTGCTCAAGATTTTCGCCAAAGACGCCGCTAAAGACGGTTTCTCAGCAACCATCAATGCAGTCCTCATTGTGATAAGAAGTTCTAAGACGGTCTAAACCTGTTAATAATTACAGGATGTTGAAACTTGCATGCATGTACAGTTGCGGTACGAAAGCATCGTCTGCTGTAGGCTCATGAAACATAGGCAGAATGAGTACAAACCGGTATCATTCGAGGATTGTAATTTGAAATACAAACTTAACGAAATAGTTACACAACTAATGGGACCCAATAGACAAAAATATTACAATTTGATAAGTGATAAAGTCAATCCTCGCGACTCATCCTCATGAGTTACTTTTTGTAAACAAAACAAGTAGAAATTAGTTTCGTCATTGCGAGAGTTCACGCATTTTCGGCAGCTTTTTGATTGGCCGCCTGGAAGAAAAACAAGATGGTGACTTCACATACCAGTAAGTACAACATATTACTAAAAACCCTGGTTATAATCCCAGGAAACAGAAACGAAATATTGCAGCAAATTAGTAATTACACAGACAATACTTCTTTAAATAATTATTTCAAAAATATTTATTCAAAAATTGCCCTCAAATGAGGTTGAAAAGCTGTATTCATTTTTGTGGCATGTGTGGACAATTTTTTTCGGGATTAATGGCAGCTTGTTGGCGCCAAAATATGCCGCCGAACAAAGGAATACGCGGGTTTCAAGCAGAAAGCAGAGGACAGGAGAGCAAGAGTCGGCTCGGCACGAGGAGAGGAGATAAGATAAGAATTAAGAAGTCATTTCGTCATTAAAGTCATCAATTCATCATCATGCCGCCATCTAACCAGATTCCAAAGCACGTGCATTGTGTTTTCACGTCTTGTCTGAGTCTGAATTCTACTTCATCAGTTTCTTTGCGGTTCCTCGAGCCAAGGATTGGCCGTTTTCTCATGGTAAGTCAACTTCCTATGCACTTTGGTTCCACATGGGGGTGTAGTTACGTCGTATAATGTTGTAAGCTACAGGTAATCCTGGCCCATCCTTTTCCAATTAGCTGAAATGCATTGTGTCAAGATGCAGTTTTTGATGAGCAAGGAAATTCTAGTGCCATAGTATCTGTCATGTGCATGCCAGGTTCGACGGCTGTTGCTCACCACATCTGACTTTTGTAGCCATCCTTGCTGTATGTTCTGCTCATTTAATAGATTACATCTGTGCTTTACAGTGAAGATAAGTTCAAAGGTCACTTGAAAGCTTCAATGATTTTCACTTCGTTTTTTGGAATGACCCAGGTACATCTATCATTCGTCACCTCTTGTCTCTTCGCCAGTGAGGGTGGCCTTCGCACTGTTAATGATACGTTTTTGGAGACTAAGTACGTGATTCATTTTTCATTAACATATGCTTTTCCTAACTCCTTAGTACTGCTCAGTGATGTTTCTCACCAGTCTGCTTCTCTGCTCAGCAGCTCTTGGTCTCTGGTAGAGCGGAAACTTCTGAGCAGACCCGCCAGTTGCACTATTGGGCAGTGCCGGTAAGTTTAGCTCTATATCCGTCGTAGGCAAATAGTGAAAGCAGACATATTGTCTAATGTCTAAGCAAATAGTCAAATATTTATTCTTTGATTAAAATGATTCTAATGATTAATTTTTGTTTGCCAGGCAACATCAAAAGGGGTAAGGAAAGGACTTGAGAAACTGCCATCCAACTGTTGAAATTTTGTATATTTCAGTCACGCCCATGGGGAGCTTGCCTATCATTTGTTGAGTTGTAGCCCACATTCAATACGGATCAACACCTATCAATACTGCAGTTAAAGGTATGTAATAACTTGTGGTGCAGTTTATCGCGAGACAATTAGGGGATTGAATGCAGATTGCCCATTGTTTTAATAAGCAATGAGGGAGGGCTAACTTGCCCTTTTTTAATGGTGTCCAATACAAAATAAACTATGAACTAAGAAAAATCATGGGTAAGTAATTTTAGAATTAATTAAATTTAAGAGTATACTATTTTTCAAACGTAAAATCACCAAAACAGGGAATCAGTGAGTCCAAGATGAAAAGTAGAAGCGTAAGGCTAATCAAAAAGTTGGTTCATCAATTTATGATTGATATTAATTTTTATCATCCAATATCTTAACATTTAACGTAATTTCGTATGTAATATTGAATGTAATCTCTTAACGTAATGCCTCTGCTCAACCTATTATGTTCATGTCATTGTACATTTGGAGCATTTTTGCATCCTACACTTAAATGTGTGGCAACACTTGTTTTACAAAATTGGTCAAAAGGAGGCTGCAGGCACACCTGCAAATCAAGAGCTTTCATCTAATGGAGTGGGAATGATACCTCTCCAGAAAACAATTCTCTAAAGTTATTACCTTTTTGCAATGAGCCCTGATTTTACTGAACAATTGGTTTTCCCCTTCTTCCATACCGATCCAATTTCTGTGTCACACATTTTTACAATTGGTTTGAGTTCATGAGAAAAGAATATATATATTTTTTCTTATAAAATGAGCCAAAAGTTGTTATAGCTTGATAAGTGTATTAATTTTCCCGGAAAAAAAACTGGCACCTGCCAAAAATGTACTCAATCAGAGTCCAACTCTATCAGTAATAGTACGTAAGTGAAGATGGAACGGAACTCATCGACGAGGTTGTCTCCTGACCCTTCATATCTCAACTTATGAAGCTTTTCGCGGATCCTTAGTCTTCTTGGGACTTCTATTTAATCCTTTTGGAACTGTTACTTGAATTGCCATTTCATGGAACATACCAATCAGTTGGTACAATTGCATTAAATTGCAACTTTCAATTTTGACATTTTTATTGCACTGTTTTACTTGAATAAGAGGATGTTTCGATAAATAATTTTTTCTTAGCCGTATATCAATGACCTTGCATTGATTTGATGGCTCAGGATCTGTACAACACTAGAAAGGAAACGGAGTCACTGCTGTGCAGGGCCCTAAGCCCCATCCATTATTGGGCCTCGGGGCCTGTCCGGGAGAGCGGATGAAATGACTAACACAAGATATCTATGAAAATTGTGGCTCGGATGGCCACCACACCTCCTACCAACATGTAGGAAAAGATAATCAGCACTTACAGGGTGATATTAAGAAAACTCACATCATGGAGTTGGCTCTCGCTCTTTAGCTCCTGATCGAACAATCTAACGGCAAGGATCCATTAAACCAATACCAATCCATAACCAAACTCCTCCACCCATGCCCCCAGCAGGGTGTGTTGGTGCCTTCACCATGAGGATAAGGAGGGTAGTTGAAAAAATAGGAACTACTGCATGATTTTTCTCTAGCCTTGTGTTGTTGCTTATGTCTTTATTTATCCCTTCCTGCAGTACTTGTTGTTTGTCTTAATTCATCGTAACAATAGAAATTCTCCTTAATTTTGTGACGCCAAAATTTTGCTTCCAAGGTCAGGAGTTGGCTCTTTAGGAAATCACATCCACCTGGCATTCTGAATTGGGTGTCCATTTGACACCCAGCCTTGCACACTGTCCATAACCTCGGAATTGTTTTGCTTAGGAGCCTAAGTTTTGTGTTGTGGGAAACATATCCCATTTGATGTCAGTTTCCACCATAATGAACTATTTTAACCTTCTAATTTTGAGCTGAAAAAGGCAAAATCTCCAAATCTTATCGTAAATTTACATCTGGGGAGCATAATAATGAAGTCAGTTTTTCAACATTTTCTCCTCTGACCCCCTGTTTTGCTGGGGCTATGCCATACTCCTTGGACTCCACTTGGTGGGTGGAATCAAGAAGGTAGAATCAAGAAGTTGGTCCTAGAAGGTAAGCCCCCTCTATAACAATGCTTCAGCTACGCCTATGGTTCTGGTTCGAGAAGTTACTCTGAAATCATCAGGAGGAAGATGGAAGGCCTGACAAGTTTCATCGCACCACTAAGACAGGCCTCTTGTCAAGTTGATAATGATTTTTAAATTTTTTAAGATGATGTTGATTCCAGAAAAAGCTTCCTGCACTTCAGATGCAGCGAGTGCGCATGTTCCCAAAAACATTTATAATGTGTATAAGGCTTGAACTATAATTGTGTAATTTGAGTGCAGCAATGACCATGTCTTTGAGGTATTGGTCATTCAGTACCTCAAAGCCTAGTGATAAAATTCAACCATGATACCTAATTCAAGAAATTAAAAAGAAGAAAAAACTGTTTAGAACTTGTGTTACCACCAACTTTTCTTCTTCATTACCAGCAAAAATAATTTAAAAAAGAAGAAAGGTTTCTTCTACAGAGAGGCGCTGTATTTCGGTTTTTTACCTTCCTGTTTTCTTCAGCCTCCTCTGCTCCACTTTTGCTACTACAGTATTAAACCTGTAAAACAACAAGTTCTAACTTAGCTTCTGAATACCTATTTCAAACAGTTAACTGCAAAGAAATAGTCTCTTGAATCCAGAGTCTAGGCTCTTCAAATATTTCACAAGAAAAAATACCCTCGATTCAATTGGATTTTTGCTTGAATCGAGAGCCAAGCTTGTAGTTTAAGCGTATTTCCTTTTGATTCAAGCAAAAATCCAATGGAACTAAAAGTACCTATTCTTTCTTGTTAATTTTTCAAGAGTCTGGACTGAGGATCCAAGAGACTTTTTTCCAAGTGTCCTTGTTTTCCTCATGTGACTCTTAATTTGACGAGTGATAGCAGTGAGATTTTGAAATGAAGTTCATATTTCTTGGAACACTTGAAGAGGGGTGCACATTTTCTCTACCTCCCTTTTACCCCAGGACAGTGGAGTAATTTGCTCCTTATGGCTTGAAGTCTCCTCAATCAACAAAATACTAAATTCTTGACAGAGCTTTCACTTAATTTACAGGGCCTCATTTGATGACAGATTTGTATCTTTCAGAATGACTTGTGCATTAAAACACTCTCAACAAATTTTACACATAGCACAAAAATTGAAATCGATAAACTCCGTTGAACGCAGCAACAGACATTTTTAATCTCTCTAGTTATGGTTTTGCTCATCAACTTATTGACTTTAATTTTCGTCAATAAAGAAAGGTTGGGTATAATCAGGAGTCAAGCCATGTCACAGACAGCTGTCACAAATCAAGTATATCAGTTCAGGGACGGAGGGAGTGTGAGCTCGCCTTATGCTGCATTGCAAT